ATTAAGTCGAAGGAAGAAGAAAAATCGTTTTAGATTCTTGAACTTAATCGAAGTAACCACGAATGTTGTTTCAGCAAGTTTTTACATAAATAAAACAAAATTTATAAAATCATTACAATAACCGATCAAGTTTGTTTGAAACTGAATAAATGAAGTGATTTGAATTTATTTTATAAATAAATAGCAGACAAATCGTCGTCTTTCAGCAACTCGCACATGCAGATTCGTCTCAAGAACATAAATTTAAGTCTATACCTATACTGAAAATTTATGAAAAGTCTTCACATTAAATTAATTATTTTATTTTATTTATGACCATATTTAAAGTGAAGACACTACAATTAAGAAATATTATTAAATCATATCAACAAAGCTTATTTCCGTTGTAAATATTTCAAGAGACTTGAATAGTGACGTCGTTGCGTCTTGAAAAGTTCAGAGAGAAAATTTTCGAGAGAAAATTTTTGTTTTCCTTTTATTTTCGGTCATGCGGCTGATCATATGTGTTCATGGTCAAACAAATAGCAAACTGATGTTTAATGTTTTCAACATATTCTTTATATTGATAGTTATGACTAATTTTCCTGTAAACATGGCCAATAAACTAAATTTATAAACCTCATTAATAAGCTATCAAAAACTGATCATTACACCGATCAAAAATGTTATTGCGTGACGTTTTAAGTCTTGACCAACTTGTTTTAATTTTAGACTTTTCATCATTCGAAGCATCTCACAAAATTCTCTTCATACGAACTCTTCAAGTCTGAAAACCAACATTAAGAAAAAGATTTGCGAAAAAGTTTTAGTGTTAATCAATAAAACTGAACAAATTTGTAAATTTTGTGGTCTAAAAATTGAAATAATTCTTTGGAAGACTCGAAAAATCAAAGAAGAATCATTCAAAATGAATAATCGAGGTTTGTTTTATAGAAAATTGGTGAAAATTCATTGCATAAGTTTAATTTCTGATCAAAATGTTGTTATTAACGTAAAAAGCTGCGATGTTAAATGATTTAATAAATCGCAAGCAAAAAAACTCGAATTTATGTTGAAATAGTTAAAGAAATTGTCGCTAATATTTGTGTTTAAAGAAAATTTCTAATCTTCCTTCAATCATTATTAAGTGAAACATTTTTTATGAAACTTCAAAATAAGAAAGAGATGCAAATTAAATGACGTCGTCAAAGTCAAGTGAATTAAATTTTTCAATTGAATCGTTGAGAGGAAATTTTCAGGGGAAAATTTTTGTGACGATTAATAAATTGAGAATAAATTTTATTCGAGTCTAGAGTGCAAATTGAATAATATTATGTAGAAGCTTCATACATTGATATCAGTTCAAAAATAAAAGCGATTCAGCTTGTAAAATCCAAAAATAATTTTTAATTGCGGAAAATGGGCAAGAAACTGAGAAGCTCAAGTCAAACAATGAAATTAAAACGTAAATATTTATTTCATAAATCAGATGCTGCAAGCACAAACTTCTCGAATCAGTTGCGACAACAGTTCAGACTTCAGACAGAACAATCCACAAAATTTTCTTCTCACGTTCTTCATCAAGCACGCAATTTCTCTTGATCTCCGAAATTTTCTTCTTCTAGAAGTCGACACGATTGTGTACAAGTTTTCAAGGCCTTTTCGTTTAATAATAATCAAAATCATGGATTTTCTTTCATTCGATGATGATAATAATCTTCCCATCCTTATCTCTTCAGGAAGAATTCTTGCAATGCCTTCAGAGTGCACAGCTAATCCATTGCAACGCGCATTGGCCGATTCGATCATTCGAATGGTGTCATTGGATGAGTTGCGGATCTTATTTGCATGTGGTGCAAAGGTGAGTTTCATTATTTCGTGTCAATAAAAATTTTCATTATAAAATCGTGTTTTCATCTTCGTAGGTGAATGAACCAGTGACACAAGGTCTTTGTGCCATGCACTACGCCGTCTGGCAAAAGAACATCGCAGCTATCAATCTTTTGTTGGTACGTGGTGCCGACATTAATAAAATTGATGACTGTGGTTACTCCGCATTACATTTAGCTGCTGAACATGGATATTATGAGATTTGTAAAATACTTCTTGATGCTGGAGCGAAGGTTGATTATCGTGAACCAACAGATGAAATCTTTCCACGCACTACATTATGCGATGAACCTTTGAGACTTGCATTAAGAAATAAGCATTATGTAAGTTTGATTTTCCAAAACTATCTCCACATGTAACTCATTTTATTTTGGCGCTTTAGGATGTCGCACGTATAATTCTTGAACGAGGTGCTGATCCCAATAAACGTTATTTCTTCGGAGCTGAGATAAACTTGGCTAACGATATCGAATCACTTGAACTTCTTTTGAACTTTGGCGCAAATACAGAAACACGCGATCGTTCAGGCTTAACACCATTAATGCGATATGTTCGCACTTCAAATGGGATGGAAGCAGTTTTATTGCTTTTAAAATACGGTGCAGATGTAAATGCAATGGCTGATGGTCGTAATGACTTCAGAACTGTTTTGCATTATGCAATTTTATCGGGTAAGTTTTATTTAATTTAATTTATTTGATTACAAATAGAAAATTTCTTTTATTTTCCTTGTAAATAATTTTTTAACTCAATGAATTTTGAAAGCAGTTCAGTATTCAATTCATGGTAACATTTCTAATCAATTCATCTTCAAATCTTTTACTGACATCATAAAGTTATTCATTTTGTTTTAAAGTATAGTTTTGAATGAACATTCTTTGATGTTTATAGGTAACATGAGTCTTGTGACTTTACTATTGAAACAAGGCGCAAAAGTTGACGTGACACCACCAGCACCTGAACCCGATCGTGCATCGCCACTTGATTTGGCAATTTTACGTGGCGATCCAGCATTAGTAAGAATGCTTCTTGAGCATGGAGCGAATGTTAATCGATGCAGTCCCATAATTGGATCGCCACTTCATGTTGCTTGTGCTGATAAGATTTTGCATCGAGTAGAAATCCTAAAGGTTTGTGACTGTCGTCCATTTATTACGACTTAAATCTATTTAAATAATTTTTCTCAGATGCTACTTTCATATGGCGCTAATCCTAACATCCGCGTCTATGGCGAAATGGGATCAAACGCTACACTGCGTCCACCATTAGCCGAACTTCTTGTCAGTAATGAAAATGTTCAACTTGATGAAGTTAAACTTCTTCTCAAACATGGTGCACGTGTCATCATGAAGACACAGTTTAGAGATCCAGATGGATTGCTTAACTGTTTGACAAATCTTACCGGCGACTCACCTGTTTTTATTCACCTCCTTGAATGTACGGAAGAATTCGATCCTTGCATGATTCGACGAAATCCACATCTGAATTTACGTCAACGTTCATTATTATTGGAAAAATCATCAACTCCACTCTCCCTTCAATCAACCACAAGAAGCTTTTTCCGAAAACTCTTCGGCCGGAAGCTTCCTGAAATGGTCCCCATGCTTGAAGTCCCCAAAATGCTTCACAAATATCTTCTTTTTGAGACTTACTGATAGTTTACATACTCTGATAAATATTTTTTTGATGTCTAAGACTTTAATAATTGAATTCATGAGACTTTAATGAAACTGTAGCTGTTTGGTGAACTTTTCGAAATGAAAAGTTTAGAAATAATTTTTTTTTTTGATGTCATTGGAAAAGTTTGAAACTTTTTCCGATGGAAAACTTTGCTGATCAAACAAATATCGAGTAGAACCAGTTGGTTGTTTGATTTTTTTTTGGAATTAAAGCACTCTTGATACAAATGAAGTGAGACACGTGCCATGAGTCACTGTTAGACGTATTGCGTTTAAAGAGTTTTGTGAGAATAACTTGCTTTGAATGATCAGAGAATATTTGATCAGACTTAAGAAAGATATTCTTAATTTGTAGTTTTTAAACTTGTCTGTAAAATCGAAAATTGTGATATTTGTTAAGTGAAGCATAAACGATATGAAGCAGGGAAATCATAATTAGCCAATCTTTTATTGTCGTAAGCACACTTTAAGTAAACAATAAACTTTTTTTATATTTTAATAAACTGACACATAATTGTGCCGAAAGTTTGTGAAGAAAAATATTCTTTGAATAAAGAAAAATTCTTTTTTGTATTGGAATCTGAAGATTTATTTGTCAATTTACTTTCCGTTTTTGGAGAAAAGGTAACGCCGACGTAAAATTGCATGATCATTGTGAACTTGAATATTCCCAAACAGGGTTGGAGATCGTTCGTTCCACTCCTAAAAAAATGAACATCTCCAAAACATCTCCCAATTGCCCAAAATATAAAATTTTTATTCTTGTATGATTTCTATTTCAATTCAGTTTGTGTTCAACTTTCAATCTGATCGGGTGTCTAAAGAAAAACTTAAAAAAATGGTTTTTGCGTGGATTTTAGCTATAGTTGCTTCTATTTTGTACTTCATCAAAAAGCTTGTGGATGGAAATGTGAATCCAAAAATTTTCTATAAACTTTTAGGCCGATATCGACATATTCTGCCACCAATATTAAAATTCTGTTTTAAAGATAAAAGTGAAGATAAATTAAATCGATTTAAATATGTCCACAAAATATTTCCGCGGTATCTTAGAATGAAATTTCTTAATTTTGATGTAATAACAGTTTACGATCCGGAATTGTGTAAAAAGATTTTCAATTCACAACTTGCTTGTCAGCGACCTTTTAGAAATTGCCTTCAACTGGAGTATGGACTATTAGCATCAACATGTGAGTGTTAATAGAAAAAAATAAATATTTTCGCGACCAAAAAGTGTGAATTAATCTTGATCTTCTATTATTATATGCTTGCAATTATTAATGTTTCAGATCATTACTGGAAAACATCACGTAAACATTTAAATGTTGCCTTCAATCTAAATGTCCTTAAAGGTTTCATTCCAATATTTGACTCTTATGCTGTTAATGTTGTTAATGATATGAAAAGCCATTTGGGTGGAAAGGAATTTGATTTGTTACATCCACTGGCAAAACTTGCAGGCACAACTGTTGCAGGTGAGATTCAATCATTTTCCATGTTAATATTTAAATCATTTAAGAAATATTCGAGCATATCACATATTTTAACAATTTTGTTCTTTTTTGGATGAACTGAAGAATATGTTTGATGTCAATGACATACTCACCAAATAAAATATGTTTCGAAATTGTGGATCTTCCTACGTTTTACTGTTATAACTTTATGACCTTTTGATTTGTTTCCGAATAAGTTTAAAATACTTTTTGATAATGTTGCGAAACATTCTTGCTTTGATGACGTGTTTTTTCTTCCCCAAATATTGACATGTGAAATTATTCAAAAATCTTTTCTTTTCAACAGCTACAACGCTTAATGCACATGGAGTTGAAGCTTCTCCATCTGAAGTTACAAAGTTGATAGATTCTATTAATCTGTAAGTGATGATTATAAATTATTTATTAGTGTTTTTTAAAATAAAGAAAACTTTCTTAATAGATCTCTAGATCTTCTATTTAAAAGGATTATCACTCCATTCTGGACCTTTGACTCCATTTACAAATTCACCAAAAAGTAAGTTGTTAATTTTATTTCAAATTTTAATGTTTTCTTATTTTTTTTCTTTCCTTTTAAAGTTATAAAATTGAAAATGAAGCTCGAAAGTTCACTGTTGATTATGGACTTGAATTGATAGCTGCTGCCCGAAAGAGAAAAATTTTGGAAGATAAGAAAATCGATGAAAATGGCAACGATTGTGAAAAAAAACCTGCGAAGGTTAATTACATTATCGATCAATTGGTAAATCACGAAGAAAAATTTACTGATCAAGAAATTCAAGAGCATCTAATGGTTATATTGATAACAGCGTCCGAAACAACAGCAAATTTAGTTGCAACTACAATCATTTATCTTGCAATTTATCAAGACATCCAACAAAAAGTTTATGAAGAAATTTTTCAAGTATTCAATGATGAAAATATTGAAGTAGATTACGACAACATTGGGTCGCTTAAATATCTGGAAATGGTAGTCAAAGAAACTCTTCGACTGTTTTCACCAATTCCAATTTCGGCTCGTGAAACCATAGATGAATTTGACATTGGCCTTGATAAACCGTTGGCTAAGGGAGCTAAAATTGTACTTTTAAATTACGTGTTACATCAAAGAACAGATTTATGGGGAGAAGATGCCGATAAATTTGATCCTGAAAGATTTTCACCAGAAAATATGGCAAAAAGAGATCCTTACTGTTTCCTGCCATTTGGTGCTGTAAGTTCAGCTACAATAAAAAATCTTATCACCTGAATTTATATTCTTTTTTTTTTTAATTTTAAAAGGGTCCTCGCATGTGTATTGGAAATCGTTACGCTATGTTGACGGTGAAGATTGAAATCATGAGATTGATAAAGGCTTATCGATTTAGTACGAGTATCAAAGAGGAAGAAATGAAGATGAAACTTTCATTTACAGGAAAAATGTCTAAAAAACACATGGTTACAATAGAAGAGAGAAAATAATTAAATATTTTTAATTAAATTTATTTATAAGAATATAACCAATAAGATTTAATCAAGGGTTAAATAAATAATTTTCTAAACCACACTTGAAGCGCCTCTTAATGTTAAATATCCTTTCACAAGATCTCCTGGCATTTTTCTCATAGTTTGATATTCATCCGCGTTGTGATAATAAAGTTTTGTATGAGGATCACAATAATTTCCAATTAATCCTGATATATCCGAATATTTTTTCGGAGGTCTAAACGAAGGTGGTGCATTTATCGTGGAATCTATTATAGAAAAATGTTTAAACTTTATATGAACATGATCAGGAATTTTTTTGTAAATTTACATAAAACTGCTTCTGAATTTAGCCCAAAAGAATTCCTTTCACTTGTTTGAATTTGCTTTAATGATTTCCACATTCTTTTCTTAGGACCAGGCTCTTGAAGTGTTTTATTCTTAAAAACCGGTAGTTCTTCCATTTTAAAAATTAACTTTAATATATTTTAGTTTTGTTGACAATTTTTTGTTTATACATATCTGAAAGCTTGCTAAATGCCCAATAAATGTTTGCTAAAAGAGCGTTTTAAATAATTAGAAACCGTTACAAAATATTTTAAGTTCTTGCCTGCCAATATTATGAAATGATTGAATTAAAAGTTTAAATGAATGACATGTCAATTGAAACAAACTAAAGAATGAGATAGAATAATATCATGGATCTTTATTTGACTAGAGAGCTTTCTTTCATTTCATCAATGAACACCAATTTTTCAAAAACAATCGTGCATAAATTTGTAGTTAAAAGTTGAAAATTAAAAAATGAACATTAATATTCATCACTTTCACCTCGTATATTTTCAGCAATTTGCTGATATCTGCCAAGGTAAAGAGGATCGCTAGCTCGCGGTAGGACTAAAATCTCATTTAATTCTGCTCGCGATTGTCGTTGTCTTTGAGAGGGCTGTGATTGATTTCGAAAAAGGGTCTGTTGTTGTTGTGCTGAATAATTAGATTGTTGTGTACAATGTGACGGTGGCCGTGAAGGTGGTGCTCGAAATGAAAGCAATTGTATTGCTTCCACAACACCGTCAGAATTCATCGTTGTTTGATCAGGAATTGTAGTTTGACTTTGTTGATTAACTAGGCCCGCTAGCTTATTCATCATTGGAATGAATCGTGATTGTGTCTTACTGACATTTGTTGGCATCGACCAGCGACGGTTAGAATCGACATTAGCTTCATTAGGCTCCATAGCAGTAGCAGCTGCTTCTGACCATCTCCGGTATTGCTGCTGTTGCTGAATTGTGCGAAATCTTTGGAGAGTTGAAGGGTTATTGACTTGTGGTACTTGACATTCATAGCTCGCTGACATTGGAGACTCAGAACGTGAATAATCGATGTAAGAATGTGTCATATGATTTAGGAAAAACAAAACTTTCTCATAAATGTTTCCCATCGTCATTCGTATTGAACATGCTTCTGGGTGTGTTTGTTCTTTATCTAAACTGGTAGAAAGTTGTGATTTGGCATCAAGTTCAAATCGCTCAGCGAGTATGAATAGATTCCTATGAAAAAATCATTAAATTAGTTTAATCAAACCGGAACTTGTAAATAAAATTTCTATTCTTACTGTCCCCAGTCAAGCAATGCCGGTACGCTTTTGTTTACAATCGTTTGATTAGGATCAACACTTCCCATAATCTTTGCCAAGTTCTGAGTGCAAATACTGAGTGTTTGAGCTGCCTAAAAAATTTTTTGCTTCTTCATAATCCAGTAATTTACCTAAATAAACATTATGCAACTTACATTGACAAAACTGGCAAGATTTGTTTGAAACTCCTTAACTATTATATCATAGGCAGCACACATTTTTGCGGGTTATTTTCAAGGTTCCCTGATGTTTTCTTTTATAAAAAAAAACGCAATTTTACATTCAGTTTGCTTTTCTTCAACTACTAATGAGGAACGGGAAAAATCATTTTTCCCATAAATAAATATGAATTGAAAGTAAAGGGGAACCAATAACAATGACTGAGTTTATTATCACTTAAATTATGCCTTGATAATGTTTTTTTTCGTTATTTTTTAATAATGGAATCACCAAAAACCACCCAAAATTTCTATACGAGACGACACAAGTGGTGAATGCTAATTTTATGCTAAAAGTTCTTAGCAAAGTGGGCAGACAGACAAATATAATCAAAACAAAATTAAAAGAAGAATTTTGCTGAAAAATAAAAGACTTTTAATTTAATTAATTTTTATATGAATGCCAGAAGTTTTTGCATTCTAAAACATTGTTTAATTATTAAGGGTTAAAAGTCGGTATTTAAAATTCTTGAAAATCCTTGATAACATTTAAAAATGAGGAGAAATTTAAAATAATTAATTAAAAAATATTCATACGTGGTCTTTTTTTATTATCAAACAGTAGAATAACAGATGTTTGTAACGAATAGTAGTCAATCGTCATCAGTTGACTCCAGTTTAGATCAATTAATTGATAATAATAACGATGATGAGGAGCAATTAGTAAATTTAAATAGCTCAGATAGTTCCAATTCTAATAATCAAAATAATCGTTTGAATATGTTAATAAGTTACGGAAAAGAACTGTTATGTATTCTTGCATTCATTCTAACAACATTCGCCAGTGTCCAAAATAATTCGCCTAAGATAAGTCGAGCAGTAGCACCAGTTCCATTTTTTTCAAAAGGTTCGTTCGTCGAAGATTATTACACAGGACAACTTAGTGCAACACAAACCAAAGTATCGTTATCAGAACTTTCATTTGTGCTCTATTATGCACCTTGGTGCTCAGAAAGTCAACATTCAAGACAAAGTTACGAGCATGTCGCCAAATTATTCTACCAGGAGGCTTATTTCACAGCGATAAATTGTTGGCAACCTGGCAGTGAATGTCGAAATCAGTATACGAAAATCCATTCGTGGCCAATTCTCATGGCTTATCAGCGAAATGGCTTTGGAGTTCAATACCAAAAAAACCTTTGGACTGAAGGGGCATTGACGAAATTCATCACATCACTTCTCAATCCAGTTCAAAGACTCACAACACCAGATGAGCTTCTTGAACTTATGGCAACTAAAGATGCGGTTGTTGTTGCGTTTCTTAACTTACAAGATCATCCAAGAAATTACAAAAGTTTTCATAGAGCAGCTTATAAATTCCTCGAAAAAGATGCTTTCAATGAAATTGGATATGCTGTGGTTACGGGAGAATCTTCGTATAATTTTGGAGTGGAGGAACTTCCTTCTATTAGAGCATATATGTGGAATGAAACACTTGAATACAATGGAAACAATTCATGGACGAGTAAGGAAATAAATAAATGGGTTTTCGAACATATTCAACAAGTTTCATTCCAATTATCGCCACCTGGTACGAAATCTTCATCTCTTTCACCTTACTTGAGGCAAGGTCCGTTATTGATTCTTTTCACACCAAGAAACTTCTATACGGAAATGTCCGATCCATATGTGATGTTACAACAAATTGGAATGGAATATTATAATTGTGATGAGGACAATTGGATAAACGAAATGACTCGTGATTACCTTTTTGAAAGAAGGAAAGAAAATCGAGACAATTATAAGAAGTTGATTGAAGGATGTCAAAGATTTTCTCATCATAACTTCCATCCTGAAGAAAATAACAAAAAATGTGATGCTTCGATTTCTGTTTCACTTGCCAATGTGTTAAATTCATCGAAGAATTTTGAAGCGAGATTTAAGAACGTTCCAAACTTTTGTGAGATTAATAAGCTTATGAAAGATAAAAGTTGTGGTTGTGTAAAAGAATTTCATTGTGAAAAGCAGTCACTGAAATATTCGTTGAAAGATGTTCACATCACTGGTGATGATAAAGTAAAAAAGACATTTGAAACTTCAATGTTGAGTCATGATGGCGATGATCGATCGCCAGATTCCATCATTCAATATAACTTCAGACGAAAATGTGAAATTCTTCGTTTGGCTAAAAGGAAAAGTGATATTTTATTTATTGATGATGTTGATCCAGCTCCACTTGAATTAGTTTCCGGTCTTGCATGCAAATACAACAAGACATTTACCTTAATTTCAATGGACAGTTTGAGTTTTCACACATTTGCCGAACGTATTGGAATTGATATTCTTGAAATAGAAAATAAAACTGCAGCAATTATTATGGATCATGAGAATGAATCGACTTTCATGCTAGATGAACCAGTGAATCTTAATTCTCTTTCAAGATTCATTTATACATATCACCGTGGTGGATTGAAGAGATTCCTGAGGACAAACAGCGTTCAATACAAGCACACACATTTCTTTGACATTAACGAGTTTCTCAATGTGAAAAAGAAGGAACAAATGGAAGATCGAGACATTGTTGGAAAGAAGAAATGTGAAATGGATGTTGGAAAGCGAAAAGTTCATCACGCTGTGATAAGAGAAATCAATTCTGAAGATTTCGAAGAAGCCGTTTCAAGATCTAATCACACTTCTGTTGTGTTATTTTACTCTGCCAACTGTGCTTTCTGCTCAATGATGAGTCACAGTTTGCTCACAGTTTCGAGAATCATCGAAGAGATTCCAAATATAGATTTTCTTCGAATTGATGGTGATAAAAATGATTTGGCATGGTGAGATTTTTTTTTCTTTTATAAATATTTAATTGAAATAATAAAAAATATTCCAGGCACTTTACAATGTCAGAATATCCAACATTGATAATCTTCCCAGCTGGCGACAAATCTGAAAGTCGAAGGTTTCCAGTAAGAATGTCAATAAACACGTCAAATGTTTTAGGATTTTTGTTGGCGAATTTGAATCGATCACAACGTTTGTTGGGACTTGTTATGGCTTGCAATTATAAGGTGAGAGATCATCATACATTTTAAAATGAAAGTTTCTTATCAAAATTAAATTAATTACAGCGTCATAATTCAACGTACGATTGCATAACGACAATACAAGAAGAAATCACTGACTCAATCTCATTTTGTTTACGAGAATGGCGGAAAAACCCATTGAAACGAACAGCAATTCTTAGGATTATTAAACAACTTAAAGAAATTTATTTGAATTTGTTTTTAATCAGAAGTTCGTGTGACTTTCTTAAAATTGAAGTCGAAGTTAAGAGTTTAATGGAGAAATGGAAAAAGATCATGTAAAGTTTTCTAATGTAAGCAAACGATGATATTCTCCTTCGTTAGTTGATATTTTAAGGGATGTTCATCCCATAAATTGTTGAAATTTTATTTAAAATAAGAAAGAAAGATTAACAAAACCTTCATTTAACATCAATTATCTAAATATTTAGCATTCTTGTAAATATGTACATTCATTTAAAGGAATAAATCAAAAATCAGACTGAAAGAACGAACGTCATGTTTTATTTATAAACGAAACTCTCAACTTTAAGCAGCCATGAATAAATAAATTTGTAATGATTAAAGCAAGCGAAAAAGAAAAGTTTTGTTAAGCATTTTCATCAACTTAAATAAATAATAAATCCGATTACCATGTGACTCACTTTCATATCAAAAACAGAATCATCAATCAGTTCATGTCGTTATTGATTTCATTTCGACAAACTTTTCATTCATAAATGTTCACGTCATGGCCATTGGGTTTGTTATTAAACAGATAAACAACATGAAACTTTGAAAAAAATCAATGCAAAGTTAGGGACGAATGGACGAATGAGAATTGACGCGGAAAGAAACTTAACGAATATGATAGCTCAATTGTTTAAACACGAGAGTGATTATCGTTCCTTGACCATGTACAAAAAACTTTTTCTTGATGGCTTTTATGATTGTGTTTACATTAACAAAACTGCTTTCGTCTTTGGGAGGTGAAACATAAGGATTCACGCTTTACTTCAGGGTCAAAGGACGAAAGCTACCTTCCCTTATATGTAGGTAGCAATGAATCAATTAAAATGAATCAAAAAACAACGTAAATTATTTAACATGTATTTGTAGGAAGTTTCCGTGAAAGAACAACAACATGATAGCCGATATAAAATGCCTTCACTACCTCACACAATCGTAATCAACTTCAAACATGCATGCATGAATTTTTAACGATTTTTGATGAAAGATAAATATGATAATTCATAATGCCTCCTCGTTTTCCTTTCCGTTCCATCCAACCTACCATGACAAGGAAAAATCGATTTGTTGTGGTTTGTTGGGTGGCTCGACTTGAAATGTTAAGCAATGTGCCATTCAAGCGATGGACGTTGTCGTGAACACAATACAAGTTCGAAACATCAAAAAGCTTATTAGAGTTGGAAATTTCCTTAATTTTCAAGTTCAAAGACAAGGAAAAAAGAAAGAAAATTTCTATCAGTTTTTGTGTGCTTTTATTAATAAAATAATAAATTAATGAGATGAAATCTGTTGAGATTATGTGACATTCTCCATTCAGATTATCAACGATGGGATGTGGCTTTAGCAGTTCATCATCGGGGGTATTTGGAGACCCAACAAGTCCGGAGTTTCGTACAAATGTAAATAGCTTTAACTTTGGGCGCATGGGGGAGAGGGTAAGTCAATCATCAGTAAGGCAATGAATGAATAAAGTAATCAAAAAATTGAATAAAATTTCCATTTTTGATTCAAATAAAATGAAAATTGTACAAACATTTATGAAAGTTGATGAAGATATAAAAAGAAAATTCGAATTGGTAAATATTGCCTTCTGAAGTAATTGTTATGGAATTTAGTTAGAAAAGCTTTTAAAATTCCACGCGTAGCCTTTACCATTCAAGTGCAACATTGTATAATAATAGCTCTCAATAAGTAGATATGCAAATGCATAAATTTATGGATGGTAAACTAATTTGCATGTTGCACATATTCGTGCAGTGCCCTCGTATGTTTGACAAAAATGTAAATATTTTAATAGTTTTAGTTAAAGGTTAAATCGATCTGATTTCTGTTTATGTTTTGACAATTAACCCCCCAACACTCCATCACCTTGATTTTCATGAATTTTCCATTAATCGTAATAATTACCGGTTTCGTTATACAAACAAATCTACAAACAGTCAACGGAAACAGTGATTGGAGCATTTACGAGACTTGACGAGCATATTTTAACACTTGAAAACTTATCGCCTGGTTCGCGATTAACTACAGCGGAAGCGTGGGTGGAACATTTGGAAGTATAAAAATTAATTAGAAAAAAACTTTCGCACAAAAACCGAAAATTTATTTTTCCTTCTTTTATTTCATAGAAATTACAACTCACCGTTGACGATACAATTACTGATCGTCAACAACTTGATGTTATTTCGGAATTAGATGAAACGATTTTAGAAGATGAAAAGGATTTGTTGACTGAAGTAGATCAAGAAAGAAATGACATCATGAAGGTAAAACAAGTATGTAATTGTTCTTTTAATTGGTTGATTGGCGCTTTCAAAATTTCATTTTTGGAAGCAATCATTCTATGATTCCTCAAATTTATATTTCCCTTTAGCTTGCGATCAAACTTCAAGTTGCGAACGATGTTAAAAAAGCTTTAGAACATGAAGAATTCTTGGGAAGAATTAGTCGTGGCGTGATGGAATTACATTCAGAGAAATTAAGATTAGATATGATCGAACATGGAAGGAAACGAATAGAAACGCTTATAGAATCTTTTAATCAACTTCGTGAACTTTACCTCGAACAAGATAATTTAATTGCATCCATTTCTGGTGGAACTTATAACTCATCGCTCGAGCAGGAACTCGACATGGAGTTAGAGACTGCCAGAGAAATTCGTGATCGACTATCGGGTGTCGCTGAACAATGGCGAACTTCCAGTAATTTGCTTCGTGCTGCTGCGAAAGCCGCACTTCAAGCTTTTGAATTTTGGTCTCTTGTTGAAGCATCGGATACTGCTTCAGAGAGAGTTCAGCTTGCGCTTGATACACGTGACGCATGTCAAAGTTCTCTCACTGCTTTAAGTTGCGCTCAACAAGCTCTTCCACAAGTCGAGATTCCCTTTGTTACTTTGAGGCAATCGAGTGCAGTTAAACATGCGCTTATATACATCCTTACTGATATGGCAAATGAGAAACGATATAGTCATACCAAAACTGTGATGGAAAGCTTTCACACAAGTGCAACAAAAGCTGTCGAGTGGATTCACGCTACGTATAAGAAAACACTCGATGGAGACTTAACAGCCCAAATTGACAACATCAAAGTTTTAACTTTTAGATTACGTAAAGAAAGAATCAAACATTACAAAAATATTGTGGGCAATAAAGTTTATATTCGACCACAAATCAAGCCTTGAACATAAATTTTTCACATAAAAATGTATGCGAAATTCTTCACAATTTTTATGAATAAAAAAGTTAATGAAAATTAATTTAAATTTTTTTTAATATCTTGATGCTTACACGATTTTGTGATGAAAATTATTATTGCATGATATTATTTGGTAATAGCGTAATATATTTAAGTAATCAGACAATAAAAATCGAATGACGATAACTGTTCGCTAGCGACATCTTCATGAGACTAGACGAACTATTTTACATTCTCACGAGATTGATTGAGATTTCTTTTGAATTAAAGTAATCGGTAATGAACCTTAAATGAACGGATGTGAAGAATTCTTTGGCCGATTTCCTTCATTATATTAATTGACCTTGGGATTGTGTTATGAGAACTTACACACAAGGGAAATGTTAAATTCAAAAGAACAGCGATTAAGAAATAAGAGGCGAAATAATTGTTGAAGAATTTCTTCTTATCTGACTATCTCTTGCATGCCACATGTTTATACTTCACTTTATTTGCTTTTGTTCTTATTTAAATCTTAAAGTTTAAAACAAATGTTCGAAATGTGAGGTTGATAAAAAAAAGAAGAAGAAATGAACAACATATGAAAATATTTGCGCTTGGGGTGATGGTTTTAAAGCATACATTCTGGAAATTCCATAGATAAGTAAATAGAACTGATGTTATTCTATAATTCATGCACAAGAAGAATAAACGGGTCAGGAGAAAATATGAAGTTCATATTTCGTGTTAACGAAGCTATTAAAAATATTGAGAAAAAGAAAAACCTTCAAGGCGCTTTGTTGTTCAGGTGAAAATTAACGTTTGACTCTCCTACTTGGTTATTCTCTTTTATTCATTTTCATACATTTTTCTCTTCTTCTCTCAGGTAGACTTAAATTTCTTACTACATTGTTTTGATTTTCAGTTTCGTCGATCAACTCGCAACTCCAAGACGTGTTTTCTTCGCTTATTATCGACTATCAGAGTTCATTTTTCTTACTTGTTTAGTTTTATTTTATAAAAGCTTAAAGTCGTTCTATAGCTGGTTATTATCCGGCTAAATTGATTTAATAAATTTATGAAAAGCAAGCACTGAGCAAAGTTTCAAAACAATTTTAATAAGAAAAAAAAACTAATCAAAAAAGTAGTAAAAAGAAATATTAAATAAATAAAATTTCAAGAGGGAAAGTTCAGTTGTGCATGGCAAAATTAAGTTTTGATAAAAAAAAATAAATAAAAATCGCTAAAGCGAGTGGAAGAGATTTTTCGGATTAACTAAAAATAATCAACGTTTTACTGGCACTTGATGGTGAGTAGTATTTCATGATGCTGAGAAAATTAAAAAAGTTGATTGAATCATCATCGATATTCTCGTCAATATGACGCAACAACACAACAGATATGTAAACATTCGAAAAATTCCAATCTCATTAGTGATGTGATTCATCTGGCAATAAGTTTCCTTGTATCTATCACAAGTTTTCTAGTTTTTATTTGAAAAAAATGTTTAATTCTTCTTATTGTATCGCACAGCGATTGGTCTCATATATCGTGTTAAAAATGTTCAAAATCTACCTGACAGCTTGAAACATCAATTTTAATGCTTTACGGAGCCTCTGACCTGAACAGTTATTGGACCGTAAAAGAATCGAACATAAACTGTGAAAAGGGTCCTTTAACCATGCAACTAAGTGATTTAATGTTGCTTGAAAGACATAAGAATTCGACGACGCCATAGTTCAACTAAGTATAAGTTTCTAAGTTGTCCACCACGCAAATTACTTTTAGATAACAAGCTCGAAAAAATGTCCGGAAAATTGTTTACCACATTGGCTTGTTTCCTGTTCATGATTTTTAGCAAACGTTTAGATTTTTAGCTTGCGTGTTGATTATCGTATCTGCTAGCTAGGGCGTTGCTTGACATAAAACAGAATCACCTGAAATTTTCCAGAACCACTAAAACTAAATATGAGAAATGATTAATGACTCGGTCATGGGAAGATCCATATTAGTCTTCCTGGTGGTTTTTTTTGTGCGTGTAAAAGTCGGAAATTTCCTGTTAACTTTTTATTTTTCAAAATAATTGTTCCAGCACACCTTGAAAAGGTTCTAAGCGCAACCCTCAAACAACACACAACAAACGTCTTCATGACATTTAATGTGATGTAATTTGATCCATGATGTAATTTAATTCACTTTTAAAAAGGTTTTCGTATCGTTCTAAGAAAGAATCGAAAATTTATGCTTCCGATCTGTGAGTTATAATTTTTCCTTTCTGATTTCTTCTTTTGCCGGTATTTCGATTGAATTTTCAAAGGAAGAATTGAAGTCTGTGATTAAGTTGCCGACAACATTTTAAATAATTGAAGCTGTGGAGTATTTAAAATGCGAAACTTTTGGTGAAATAATGATATCTATCATGTTATGTAGATAATTTCTAAAAAATTTGAATAAGACTTGATTTGAAAAACCTTTCTGATTAAATAATGATTAATAGTTCTGAAAAGCATCTAATTGCTTTTTAATATTTCTTTAGTTGTTTGAAGTTCTTTTTTTGTCATTCATCCTCGTAAGTCTTTCTGAAGAATGAACAAAAAAATGAAAATATTCCAACCCATAGCAAAGTTTTAAGATTATCTGCAAAATTATCCTCGTCAATAATTCAAATCATTTCATTTGTTAGCAAATTAAAGTAGTGAAAGTTTCGTAAGACGAAATTAAAAAAAGTTTGCCCGCCTTCATGTCAGTTTTAAAGAAATTGCCGAAAAACTTGAGCAAGCGCGTTGGAATAAAATAAACAAGAAAAAAAGTTTGTTTAATTAATAAAACAAGATAATGTCACAAACTCACGAATAAAGCATTTGATTCAGTTTCTTTTGAGTGCATGAAGCAACCGCACATCAAGGAAAGAATCAAAGAAAATTGAAAAGTAAGTGAGAAAATTATTTGTTTGCGGTTTTTGATGCTAGTATGAGGTAATCAATTTCTTTACGGTAATTTGCGGTGTGCGTAGTGAAAAGGAAATTACAATGACAGTTTGTGAAACTTTTATCGGCAAGATTTGAACGACAATCTTTGATTAAATGACAATCTAAGCTACTTGGAAACGTGTTTTTGAACTCAGGAATGTTTGATTTCGACTTAATCCGTGTTTACTTTCCATCCATCGCACTGCACAAATAGAAATGCTCGTTGACATTGACTTAATAATCTTAAAAATCCTTCAAACAATGAATGCGTCTCTTATAATCTATTATGAAACAAATAAATTTGAATTACAGACTAAAATTATTCGTGGAGGATTTCATTTCATCTCGTGATGATTGATTGAATATTCGATTCAATCTGAATCCATTAAAATATTTTCATGCTCATTCGAATGCACGCCTCAAAATATTTCTTTCATTCTTTCATCTTTCTTGATGTTATCGTTTCATTTTAAAATGAAATTATCGTCTGGACATTTTCAAATAAAAATAACAAGAAAGAGTAAACTGGTTGAGCCGAGAAATCATCAAACTCAAATACTCGACAAATATGATTTTTCTTATATTTATTCAACTTAGCAAAAAAAAGATATCTTCATCGTTGTGTTATCACATTTGTCTTCCATATTCGAGAAGCACACACCTTAGTCAAATGTCATAAATAAAAATTTGTGCGAGCCACGAAGGTGCAAAGTAGGATAGCAAACAAGTTTTTTTTGTGCTGAAGTGAACAGTCATGAAGCATTAATCGATTTGCAACTGTTTGAATTATTGCAATTTAAATCTTTATGAAAACTCCCTCAAACAATGATGCCACATGAAATTAACAACAGCTGTAGATGCAGTTTGAAACTTCAATTAGAATTTTTTCCATCATCCACATCGGATTCTGAAGCGTTGAATTTGTTTTTCTGCTTCAAACAATTTCATGGTCTGTTGATGATACATTCAACTCAAAGATGCTTTTTTTGCATTTCCATCTTGTTAATTTCATTCCTTTTTTCAGTATTTCTTATCTTAAATATTATTGGAATGATTCAAACGTTATGCAACAAAGACGAGTTGCAACCAAATTCAATTTCATGTTTAATTAAATTAATTTTCTTATTTGGAGTTCACATTTTATCGCGTGCGTTTCCATGGCACACAATTTGTTGAAATTTTTCGATTAGGTCGATGTTTGATCAATTGCATAAGATTCGCTAACTGCGAAAGGAAATCGATTAAGAAGTAAGACAAGGTTTTCTTTTTTTCGTTCGGTCAAGACTATAAAAGGTGAATATTAACAAGCAAACAGTTACTTATGTTACATTGATTGCATTAGCGTCTGCTGTTCCTTTGTAAATAGAAAAGATTTTCTGATCAACATTTACGTGTCATAAATTATTTTGAAATTGTTTATTAAATGATTATCGCTTTTTTATGAAGCTTTTCTCACTGATCATCTCGCCTCGCCCACTCAAATGAAATCCGCTTAAGAAAGAAAAGTAAATCTTTGAATAAAGTTCTGTCCTCTGGTGAGGCATTTGCCATTCTTTTTCCACCATTTTTCAAAATTGATCAGATAACGAACGTCAATTTGCTTCGTTAAATATTAAAAGAATTTATGCGCGGCCTAGGGAACCCGACATTTGTTTCTTTTGCTTCTCAACTCGTTAACATCGATTTAAATCGTCCATGTCCAAGCGACATAACAGGAAATAGCTGACTGTCTATTTTATTTGTGACTCTTAATCGCTGTGATTTGAGAAACCTTAACTAGATTTCGACGGCAGTGAAAATTTAATTTGATTACGAAGCGAATTATTGTCGTTTGAGTTCACGGAAAAAAATATTTAACATCTTGTTAATCAATTTATGTTGTTTTCTCATTCGTCACAATTCTTTTCGTTGACATCGTCTAACGGTGTGCCGATGATGCATTCCATTGTTGCTTTGCTTCAATACTTTATTACTTCTTCACACTTAATGGATTTCATTGTAATGCTTTTCGTGATGACACATTTTTGAAGTTCCATAAACTCTTCATTATTTTTAGTCCGAAAAAGTTCTCATCAATGCTTGCACAGTTGTTTCTAACCAAAAGTTCGTAAACTCATTGGAAAGATTTATTTGTTGTGACGGAGATTATTCAACACTTCCTGACAAACGTTCATTATTGTTTCATCTTAAAATCATTAAATGTTGAGTAGCAAATTTGCAAAAGATGAACAAAGAAATTGTCAGCGATCATTACAAAATATGAATCAAGATTTACTTGTTGTGCTATTAATTGTACAAACACTTGAAACCTTTAGAGCTCTGATAGTTTATAGAACTTTTCCAAACGTTCAACTGCAACTGCTTTATAAATATCCCTAACGGAATCGAAGTTAAATGTGGACAAATTAAATAAATTCCAATGAATGATTTGACTCGCAGTACGTTGTACCTTTGAAGTAAATAGCTGTAATTAACTTTTCTATGTCAACCAGCACACGTACAAACATTTCTTTTTATGTTGGAAAGATTAGTCAGATTAAAGTTTAACAACAATTTTCACAGTGAGAATTGTCTTAATTTAACAACTGCGGTAACTTCAAATACATTTCATGTTGCTTCGACTTACTGGAAGTATCCAATGATGATCTACAAAACATTTTGTTATATTTTTATAAGAGATCTAGATTAAATCGAATCAAACTACGTTAATTTTATTTTGTGAATCATCGTGAACTTGGATATCCAGCGGAAGATGAGTGAAAAGAAGAAAAAGTTAATTTGGATGCAAATTATTATTATTCTGACATTTTTATTTACTATTTGTGAGAGCGCACAAATGAAGCTTCACAGCCCTTTCTACTCATTCATCATGCTTGATTTAGTAGCTAATACTCTTAAGAACTTAAAGAATTTTCTAAAGAATCACGCTAAGTTACAGTTCTTGAACACTATGTACAGTCTTTACAATAAATTCTATTTAGAAATTCAACAACCGTTAGGGAAAAGCGACTTGAAAAACTTCTCGTAACAAATGACAAGAAGATCATTTCATGATTTCATGCAATTCGGTATTAAAAAAGCGAGAATTAATTGAATATAACATTCAAATCCAGAAGCAGCTTCACGCTTCATTGGTGCTAGTTCGAATTAAATCTAGATATAAGTTACAAAAAAAAGAAAAATTGAGAATAAAGAGAAACGAGTTTGCTAAGCCGCCATTCATTATCCAATGAGTTGTTGATCTCGGGATCGAAATCACCATAAAAATATCATCTCATAAAATTCAAATGCTGATTAACAGCATCACAAAGTTTAATCATTAAAAACTTTCGATAAAACGACATTAGCATTCTTTCCTGTCCTAATCAAACGCATCTTTGAAACATTTTAATGATTAAATGTTGTGGTTTGAAGTTCGAAACTTCTTCTTTATGAGATTTTAAAATCTTTTTATTTACGACATAAATAAACAAGAGAAAAGTTGTTGAATTGATGATGAAATTATTCTAAAAGTCGCAACACGAGGCAAGTTATTCAATCGTCGAGGAAAGATACGAGATTTCATTAGAAAAAATAAGAAACAGCATTTCACCAGACCAGTACAAATTTTTCATGTCGATCACGCGCTCGCAAAGGAAACAATTGAAATGGAAAGTGAGAGAAAAAAAAAGTTGACAAAACAGTCGCAATTTTCAATTTATTCCGCTTAAATAAACAATTCAGTGCCGGTTGTAAATAACTGTCGTTAACCGTAAAGTAACTGATTCAAATTAATACTTTTTGTGGGTCATGCGCCGAATGAGAGTTAAGCACATGTTTCATCCCAAACATTGCATATTAATTAAGCTTCTCAATTGGATTTCTTCTGATTTGTTTTGGTTCATTCGCCTTCTTGTTGCCTTTTCCATGGATTAAAGCTTAAACGTTATCCACAATGTGTATCGCTTCACTTAATTTCTCAATTAACCTAAGTACTTCTTTTACTGTTTTGCTACGAAAAAACATCCGAATGCGATATAAGAAACTATCTCTGGTCATTGTTAGATGAAGATTAAATGAAAACAGCAACAATTGAGTGATTAAACAAGAAGAAGAGTTCAAGTAAGTATCGCGTTGTTCACACGAATTTTATAATTGCGTGAAAATTTAAATAAGACATGAGTTGATGAATTTCGATGAGAGGAAGCATCTCGAAAGTACTTTTCCAATTTCACACATCAATCGATAAGCTTCTTTTTATTTCACTTTTAATTGTTGTCTTCCGTACAATCGTCGTTAGCAAGTAAAATTTCTTTTCTTCGTTCATCGCCAAAGGCATTGGTGGTTTATAATGTTTCCTTCTATTTTCAACTAGAAGAAGACAAATCATCACAATTGTTGAAAGTCGATCACTTTCTCTGTTTTTCTATCATTCAAGACGAAGTTGGCAAATATTTTTAAATTTAAATATATGCATAGATACATAAATTTGATGAATGTGTCTAGTCAATGTCGGAGTGAGAGAGAAAAATGTTGCAAATCGAGATTATCGCGAGCCACGAACCAGTTTTGTGGTTTTTTTTCCTTTCTTACGTATGAATATCAAATTAAATACAATGAACTTTTGAGGTGAAAAATATTATTTTAACTTGTTTGGTTATTAATTTCTTTCTCCTTTTACTTCTTTTTGATCCGTATTTTCATGGACACTTAGTTAGATATTTATGCATAAGTAATCAACGATATTTATTTGCAGTTCTTTAAACTCTCACACGACACTTCAATGATTTCTCAATCAATTTATTATTTACCATGAAGAAACATCATCAAGCAGGTGTCAATTCGTTACTTCACCTGACCAGTCACACAGAAAAAAAAGTAATAAAAATCAACGTCATTTTAATCTTCGATCGACAACTGTTTTGATTTATTGAAAGCATGACTTAAACTTGCCCTCAACATGTCGAATTTAGAACGAGTCAAAAGTCATAGAGAATTAAATCATAAATCATGAACAAGATTGAAGGCAATTAAGAATAATTTCTTTTCTAGCCGAGTTTCAGTGCTATAAACGAAATCAAATTGACCAACTAATGATGATGAAGATTTTCTAAATCTTCCAACAATAGCCACCATCAACTCCACCAACATGTGGTTTAAGAAGAACAAATTCTAACTTTAAAGTTTAAACCCTTTCCAAAACAAAGAAAAAGATTTCACGAAACGAGAAGAAAAAGCCATTAACCGAGATTTGATTCTTCTGATCGGTATCATGATTGTGTAATAAAGTGAACCTTTTGAATTTCTCTTTTCTTTTGTTGAGCCTTCTCATTCTTCATCTCATCATTTTTCTATTTTCTAAATGAAGATAAAGTTAACAATCATGATGCAATTATAAACTCGTCGAATATTATACGAAGACCACTGATTTGAAAGGCTTACGAGTCGTACGTATATTGCAGGTGGTTTCACGTTAATTTGTGGTTTTGAGTTGAAGAAGAAGAAGAAAAAGTCGACGTTCTTGAGATTTTCTTATTTCATTCCTTGTTTTTAATTCATTTTCTTACTCATAAATTCATCTGATGTTGTAGCTACTGCTTCTGGCTACCGAAATACTTTACTTTGCTTTGATTTCCTGTTCCTTCAACTTTTAATCACTTTCAACGCCCATGATTTGAAAACTTTTGCTTTTATTTGCTTCTAGCGTTGATGATGCTTTGCTTTGTTGTGTTTCGATGATGAATTGTCAAAGTTTCTTGATTGATTTTTAATTGTTTATCTTTTTTTTATAGATTTTATAAGAGCTGAGAAGTAATTTCATGAAATAATGCGTTGGCTACGACGATCATCTGAGACACCTCAACTGTTGGGTCTCTCGCCTTTGAAATCCGAAGATTCTTTGTCAGTCAGCACCATCAGCATCAACTCCATTGATCAGCATCAAACTCCACAGCGAAATGAGACGCCGTCAGATGATTTCAGAAATGTGACACTGTCAAGAAAGTCGAGAATTGGTGAGAACTTTTAATTGAATATTTTGAAAAGATTTTGTTTTGTTTCGGAAATATTTCTTTAACTCACAAAAAACGCAAATTTCGCTTTCGTAGGAAAAAATGTTTGAAAATCGCATGAAACACAAATTTTGATTCGACATCGACGATTAAATTTTTCTCGGAATCAATTATGAGATAGAAAAAAGTTTCTTTTGAAGTCCATGGGAAAAGTTTTTATAAAGCAACAAAAATTTAAAAACACTTCAACGATGTCAAAGCTAAATATCTTTCAACAATGCTTCAGATAAATTTCTTTGTCGCAAAGCTTGAAATGATAATTGAGAAGAAGAAAAATTATCTAAATATGTGAATGTCGCTGACAAAGTTGGCAAAGAATTTCTTTCAAGTAAATTACTGACACATTCTTGTGACCAAATAAAAGAGAAATGCACAATTATTTAAAAGGAAACAAATATTTATTTAACTTTTTATTAATGTTATTTTAAAAGAAAGTGTTGATGACTCTCAACTTTTACTTATGCTAATTTAACCTGGAATTTCAATGCAATCGATCGAAGTGGGAAATGAAAAACTTAAATCAATCGACCTGTTGTTATAATGACTTTGAAATATTTATTATTTTGATTTCTAACTGTAAAATCCACCCACACAAAACTACACAGAAATATGTTGTCGAGAATTCAATTTCGTCATTAAATCATAAAAGGGTTTTGCATGATTATTTATTGACATATCGATTGATCTTTAATATTGAGTGTTAAATCCTGTTACGTTGAAACAAGTTTTTAATAGACTTCGTCTATGATATTTTAATTTATAAGAAGAAATTTTGTGTCTGATTGAAACTTGATGTAAATTGATTGATCAACCAAGTGAAACTATTGAAAATTACATTCTCGGTAATTAGTTTTTATTTCTTCAATTTTACTGTCAGTCAATAAAATGCAATTCGTTTCTCACTCTCGTTCTTTAGTCTTTAAATTAAATCGACAATGAAATAACCGAAAAACAATAAAATGCGAATGTTTGGCGACTAAGAAATCATTCAAAGATTTCTCAACATCTTCTTTGTTTCCGTTCCATTACTTATGCTATTAAAATCAACTTCTCTTCTCTCTTTTTTGCCCGGTCATTTTAAATTAAAGCATCCTGTGTGTAATTAAATCGAGATATTCGTTAGATAAATAGACTCGCAAAAAATAAAACTGGCCAATAAGTAAATTTTGATTGTTCAATCTCTCATCTTTCATGTTCCGTGATTGTTAATAATCTTCAATTAATTTCTTTGAAATAATCCAAAAGCAATTTATCAAAGTATAAGATGAAGGAAATGCCAATAAAATTGCATAACACCATCAATAGCGTTATTCGAACGACCTTGAAAGAGCAAACAACGAAAGAAAAGTTTATAACCCGCAGTCAAAACAAAGACTGAGCTGACGATGATGTTTTTATTTGGATAAAAAATTCTTCCTCTAGACGTCTCAAAATGCCGAAGATCGAACAGATGTGATGGAATGCAGTAAAGAAGTTTCCTTGTGGGTGTGTTGCATGCATGATAAGAAGCATGCATGTTCACTTTCCTTACATCGTCGACAAATGACGAAGCAGATAATCTTGAAATTGAAAGAAGAGAAAGAAATTCTTCTCCACTTAACATAAATTGAAGAAGAGGCAAATAAATCAAGAAAGCGAGGGAATGTCATGATGTTCATAAAACATCGTCGAATATGTGTGTGTGTATGTCGTGACTTTAGAATATGAAATGAAATTTCATTCTGTATCTGACTATAGAAAGCACATTAAAGCATTGATATTCACACCATATGGTTTTCTTTGAAAATTCAACAAATGATTGAAACAAAATCTCCGAACAAATGTTTTAGTGTTTGTGAAGTTCTGAACAAGTGTGGACGCGAATCTTAGTCATTCTTGGTCATTTCTTATTAGTTGTTCCTTGAGTTTTGAATTGAAAAGACGATGGTGGTGAACTGAAGCTAAACGTTTGTTCTTTGACTTTAAATATTTTTGTAATTTGCACATTTTGGTACAAAGAAACTTGTTAAAATGTTTCGCACACAATTTATGTTTAATTCAAAATTAACACAAAGTTTTTTCGTTCATTTCGCAGATCAATCGCAGCCTTTGAGTTGGTCGAAAAAGTTAACAAAATCAACAGAGAATTGTTATAACATTCAGGAAGGAAGAATCGTTGAGCGAGGGTTGAAAGGTCGCTACATTTCACCAATTCGGATTAAAAACAAACACAATTCATCGACCCGATCAACGTCACCAGCTGGTCAGTCAATAACCAGCATTAAAACCATTTCAACGAGTACACCCACACATCAATTGCCGCATAGCGAATACTTCAGTGCTTCACAAACACTAAATTGGAGAATTCTGCAACGTGACAAGCTCGCCACATGTAATTTTGACGGTGGAAGGAGAGAAGACGATCAACAATCAACCGAAAGATTATTCGATGAAGATCGTGGACGTCTGAGGAGTGTAAGAAGTGAATTCAGCAGGAACGTCGGAGGTTACAGCGTGCCGTATCGTGAGAAAAGAAATCCTTTGAACAGCACTCGATTATCGTGCTACAAACCGCTGTCGCCTGATAAGAAGTTCGACACATTAAAGAATTACAAATCAGTCGACGATTTCCTTTCATTAGACAAAATTGATTCATCCGACATGAATCATCTCGATGATGCAATCGTCTCAATGCCATTCATTGCATCATCGAAAGATCTCAAAGTAAATAATAAGTCTCGTAGTGAATTGATTATTGAAACAGCAGAGACACCAAAGACAAACCTACAAGATTCTATTTCGATGCATAAGTTAAAGAAACATGGAATCACGAACAAGCTTCGAACAATGTCAGGAAAGACGCAAAAGTTGTTTTCAAAGTTTTACTCAAACTCGAATCTGAAGTCGAATTCTTCATCGTCATCCGATGTTTGTCATGATTTCATCCTTCAACGACCTAACAAAGAACCAACAAATGTGATCAGCAGTCGAAGAAGCTTAAGCTATGGAACTCTTCCAGGCAGCAACGAGTTCACTGTGAAGAAGCTCGAGACTGAAGACGGCGATTCAGGAATTCTTGTGAATGAATCTGGAGCATCGTCGATGGTTGAAACAGATTCGAGTGCTGATGACAAAACAGAAATTGAACAAATCAAGCCTTTACTGTTTGAAAACTTGAAATCTTCAGCTTCAACTTTGAGGTAAATTTTCAAAGATTTTTTTCTAACAACTTCATCTAATATTTCTTTTTAATAATCAGAAATGAAAGCGAACCTGAAACTACTGATGAAAATAGAATAAACATTCAATCAGACAACAAGTTATATGATCTGTCATCATGCCGATTCTCTAACAGCACCGATCAAATTCTTTCAACAAACTCTCCGTCAAAGTTTTTAACGAAACGTTTTCGCAACAGATCTGTAGATGATTTGAATGAAAAGATGAGTGAAAATGTTCCAAAGCGCAATTCCATTGTCTCTGAGATTGTCGCTATGTAAGTTTTAATTAAATATTCATAAATTTCTTAAGCTAAATTCTGCTTTTAAACTTCTTTTAGGATCGAAAAGAACGAAACTAAATTCAACACGATGAAGAATCCTCGTCGATTGAAGTCACCAACGACAACTTCGCCCGACACTTCTGCAACAAAGTTTTGTGCCATCAACAGTTTGAATCTTTGTGATGATGAGAAATTAAAACTGAAATCAGCGCAATCGAAAGACAAAATTTGTGATGAGAATGAAACAGCAAATCGAATAAATTTCGATGAAAGTCTTGCGACATTGCCAAGCACGCCAAACTTCTGCACATTACCACGAAGAACCAAAACAAGTCCAAACTGCTTATTTCTCACAGTGACATTAGAGAAAGGACCTGGAAAGAAGTCTTTGGGATTCACAATCGTCGGCGGTGCTGACAGTCCACGCGGTGCCCTCGGAATCTTCATCAAGAGCATCATGCCCAATGGACAAGCCATCGAGAGTGGATTGTTGAGAGCTGGTGATGAAATTCTAGCTGTCAATGGTCAAGTTTGTCATGATCTGACACATCAAAACGCTGTCAGAATGTTCAAAAGCGTCCGAAGTGGCGAAATCGTTCTCAACATTTGTAGACGCAAAGGCAATGTTTGTGTTGTAAAATGAAATTGATGAATGATGTAAGAATTGAAAAGTAATGTTTAAATGTTGAATAAAGTTCACCATCTCTAAGATGAAATAAATTATTAGAATTTTCTTCTCATTTCAAGGTAAACCAGAAGCAAATGAACAAAAAACTTCAAATGTTTAATTAAAAATTTTCAATTAAAACCCTTTTATTCAGTTTATTTTGTTATTTCTTATTTTCTGACCTTTACAAATTAATTGAACTTAAAGTAATAAAGATGAACTATAATTAGTCCGAAACAATTCGTCTGAAAGAATGAATATCAATTACTTCATGTTTGTATTTTAAAGTTTGAGAAGCTACAAAAAATCATTAACATTACATAAAAAAGGTTCCTCAAGGTTTTTCAAACTAATTGAACAATTTGTAAATATCGGGATGACTTAAGATTGTTATGTGATCACCTTCGATACTATTTATGTTCATTTTTTGTTCACTGTATTGACTTAAACCATAATCTTCATCCATAACGTCTACAGATAACGAAGAAGCTTTAATTAACGTCAGCTGACTCTTAAACTTTCCAAAATTGAGTTTATCAGCATCGAGAGCAATTTTAAGTCGATCGATCAATGCTGTTAACATTCTACTACCATATTCTGCACTGTACTTACTCCTTTTAACAGCAAACTCAACAAATGTTTCCAATCTCTTCTCCCAGGTTTCATTTATTAAAACTTTTTCAGAAACTTTATGAAATTCGTCTGGGAGCAGCAATCGAATGCATACTAATAAAATGAGGGATTGGATGCTTTCATCACTTTTATCTGGCAATAATTGATTTGCGATTTTCTGGATGAATTTGGGAGATCCATCAATAATGTACACTGAACCTTTTCTTCCTTTCGATTCTAAAAAGTTTGCTATCTTCAAAGTTAAAAGAGCTCCAAATGAATAACCGATGAGAAGAAATTTGTCATTCGCTGAGTATAATTTAAGAATATCCTAAAAAGTTGGGAAATAATTAAAATTGAATAATTTGTTAAATAAATCAAATGACAAACCTTAGCAACACTCCCTAAGATGTCATCTAAAGATTTTGCTTGTGATACATTTCCCCATTGTAAAATGTAAGAAGGATGATTAAGCTTCTTCGCAAAGTTATGCCACGTGTTTCCAGCCATTCCTTCAAATCCAGGAATTAATAAAGCTTTTGTGGTAAAATCATTAGATGCACTTTCTAATTTCATTATCGTTTGATCGCTTGTTGATTCATCTCCAAATGACACAAGTAGGAATTCGATTTGTTCCAATCCATGGCCATTCGACGTTGCCACACCTTCGCCTTTATTGTTCACAAGTTTCTCCAACTGACTTAACGTTAACGCTCTCATTTCTTGTGATGAAATGACAACATCATAATCACGTTCAAGAATTTGTTGAATCTCAACACCCATTAAAGAGTCCATGCCAAGACGAGACAAGGTAGCATCCATCGAAATTGATTTTCTATCTCGAATTGACATGATGTTGAGAATTGCATCAACGATATTTCCTTTCTTCAAGTCTTCAAAACGCTTCTCTGCGACAACCATACTGGCAACAACAGGTTCGTCAACATTCAAAAGAGAGTCAAGAACTTCCAGACAATTTGTAATACGCTGAGGTAAAGTTCCACTAATTTCCATATCCATGTTGACTTCTTGTAAATCAGCCAACAAGCCAACATCACCAATTGCACCCCATTGAATAGCTTTAGCTGGTAAGCCAGCTTTGGATCGTTCTTCCATGATTCTTTCCATAATTGAATTACCCATGCCATAATTACTTTGACCAGCATTGCCACGACCACATGAAACACTTGAAAATATTACAAAATATTTTAATTCAGGACAAATTTTTCGAGAAATTTCATCCAAAAATTTCGTTGCATCTGCTTTCGGTGCAAGAGATTCCTGGAACATTTTTGTGTCTTGATTTTCAAAGATTCCATCACGTAATGCAACAGCAAGATTGAAAATTCCACCCACAGGGCCAAGTTTCATCGCAGCACGAATAAGATCTTCACAACCAGATTTCTTGGCAATGTTTGAAGTGTTAATAACAACATCAACACCATAAGACTGCCAAACTCTGAGAAACAAATTAAATTGTTAAGTCAATAAAAGGATTAAAAGTCTGAGCTTACTTTATTCTCGAAGCTTGATAAGCATTGGAAATACCACGACTTGAACTCATCACAAGTTTCCTGCAACCACGTAGAACTAACCAATCAGCAAGTTCCATGCCAAACCCGCCAAGTCCACCAACTAGAACATAACATTCCGACGAATCACAATAAACTCTTGGGAGTGCTTCGAAAGGCAACGATGCGATGTCATTTGCATTTTCTCGCATCTTAAGAAGAACTTTTCCAATGTGTCGTCCACTCGCCATAAAGCGAAAAGCTTGTTCAATGTCATTTGCTTCGAAGACGTTTGTTTTGAGTGGTTTAACAATTCCTTTCATGATGTCATTTTCAACAAGTTTTCGAACGACCTAAATGCGAAGAAATATTTGATTTTGTTAATAATTTTTTAAAAAGAAAGATTATTTTTAGCTACCCTAAGTTCTTCCGATTCAAGTGGAATATCGTCAAAGAAAACTGCTTTAAATACAATTCGTTTTGAGAAATGACCCATGTCAAACATTGTCTTATTCATGATATCATATTTTCCAATCTCTAAGAACACTCCATTCATTCCCAAACATCGAATTGACGCTTGGAGTTTTTCTTCTGAAAGTGAGTTTAACACAAAATCAACTCCTTTGCCTTTTGTTCCAAATTTAACCATTTTCTCAAAAGAAACATCGCGAGAATTTCCAATTTGTTCTGGTTTTAAACTTGGGAATCTGTCCAATAAGAAATTCCTTTTTTCTGTGGTTCCCACTGTTGTAAAGACTTTGAGACCGTAAGCTAAAGCGACTTGAATAGCAGCAAGTCCAACGCCTCCACAGCCTGCATGAATCAAAATTGATTTTCCCTTTTCAACTTTTGCAGTTAAGAAGAATGCAGTGTAGACTGTGTAATAGACAAGTGGAACTGATGCCGCTTCTTCCAAGGTCCAGTCTTTTGGAACATCCCAAGTGAGTGTTCTATTCAAATTGTAATGAGTTGCCAATGCGCCTGTTGGTCCCATTCCCATAATTCGACGACCATCGCTAGTGACCCCGGAAAATTCAAAGCCCATGATCGATTGCTGTTCGATTCTGTTTAAAACATCGTCAGAATTTATTTTTCCCGTGGCTAACATAATATCACGGAAGTTCAAGGAAGCATATTGAATTTTTACGTTATTGCTTTTAAATTTCTTTTCAGTCATCGGTCCACTTAACCAAATAAGAGTTGACAAATCTCCTTTCACTAAACAATTCGCATAGTAATGACTGGTTCGAGGCTTTGAAACTTTAATCTCTTTTAATTTTAAATGTCTATAACTTCCCCAGCCACCATTTTTGTAAATATTTACAGCTAAACCATGTTCGAGTTGAGTTTTATAGAAAGGATTTTCTGTGTCGAACTTGGGAGCTGATTTATCGTCAATGAAAATGCATTTCAATCGATCACCATTCGGTTCTTTACGAATGCAATTCACTAAACCCAAAATACCAGAAAGTGAATCATTTTGAGAATAAATTAACGTCGATCCTTTCTTCAAAGCTTGTTTCAATGGTTCAATCCACGTGTCGATATCTGAAGATATTCTCAAGATTGTCTCTGGTTTAATTTGATTTTCTTTCTTAAATTGTAACATTAATAATTTTTCATTTTCCGTAACAAATGATGAGATTAATTGAATATCTTGTGGTAATTCATGCATCGTTGACTTCAATGGTTCTCTTGAAAGTATGAAACCTTTTCCATTTAGTTGCGTCTTTGCTGTTTTCATAAACTCTTTGTCGTTAATACAATTTGCTTTAATAATCAAGTTCATGTCACTCATTGATGAAAATTCGGTGTTGCTAACAGAAACGCCTTCAAGTTCAACATCTGATAAAGTTAAATAATGAATTTCCGGTGTTATCACGGGCAGATCTGCTAATCCAAGGAAAACTGATTCACTCAAAGGCATTTTACCATCTTTACCATCAATTTCAACGGAAACAAACTTTTTCCCCGGTTCATTCTCCAATGCAAGTTGAACACAAACTTTTGCAATGTCAACTTTTGAGAAGCTTTCTTTAGAGTTAAATGGAACGAATTTATGAGTTTCTAAGACAGGTTCGGAAGGTGGACGACGACGATTTACTAAACTTCCTTCGAATCCATGAATTTCAACACCACCAGCTTTAATGATATTTAAATAAGGACACGCTGAGACTTCAAGAAGTTTCTCTTCTGCATTTATTTGTGATAACTTTTGGAAATGAAGTTTCGGATCGATGATCATTTTTCTGATTCTCGTTGGAAGTATCAGCATTCGAGTATCTTTCATCAGCACTTGGAATTGTATAAGACAATCAGTGAATGTTGTCCAATCTTCGTTCCACTTAATTCTCCCTGTTAACCCATCATCTCTAATCTCTTTAACAGCTCTAAATAATCCACGATGGTAATATCCACGCAATCGCATTTCTTTGTAGAAATCAGCTTCGTTCAATGTAATTGAATCTTTAACATGCGGAACGTTTATTTCGGAAATCTCAACATTTTCCGCCACCTTTATACAGCCTTGTGCGATTGCAGATTTGCCTTCAATAATCTCAAACCGTCCGGATGCTTTGAAAATAAATAAAATTTTAATTAAATCAAATATAAAATGCATTTTCAACATACCTCGATGAATGTTAATTGTAACATAAATATCTTGATTCTTCTGTAATGAAGTTGCCCTTAAAAACTTTACATCTTCGTACATAACTTTCAAATTCATTTGTGGAACGCCCATCATCATGCTGAATGACTCCCAAACCCAGAACAACCATCCAGTTCCAGGAAACAAGACTTTTCCATCGATGATATGTCCCTGAATGAATTCAAATATTTTGTCACTCAAATTAATGGCGATGTTTCGTCTTTCAAAGAAGTTGAATGAATCGAAATTTGGTACAACGTAATTCTCTTGATGATCCCATTTAATTAAAGGTGAAATCATTGGAGTTCCACGAGAAACAGGAAAGGCAACCGGCGTATATAAATTCTTAATATCGATATCAACACCATTTTGAAAGAGTCTAAAGGAAGAATATAAAATTAATTCTAGTTTCATTAAAATTTGTTTTTAAAAACTCACTGTCCAAGTGCTTCCATCATAAACAGACATCCATTCGGATTGTCTCGTTGAGTTAAACTTATGTGAAGGCCATCCTTAAGTGATCTCTTCAATATTGATTTCAACAACCCATGAGGTGCTATTTCAACTGTCATTGCATTTTCCGGTAACATGTTAAGAACTTCTTCGAACAAAACTGGACTTAATAAGTTCTTCGTATGATATTGACCAGAAGAATATTGACTTTCTTGAGTATTCCATTGATTTTCAGGATAACTTGAGCTCAACCATTTAGCTGATCTCTTCTTGGGTGTTTTGATGACATCATTGAGCTTCGATAACAAATGTTTTCCCATTTCTGTGATGTATCGACTATGCAATGGAATTCCTGAGCACGCAACTTCTCTGGCGAAAACATTTTGCGATTTTAATTCTTGAACGAAAGCTTTGACACTGTCAACGGGTCCTGAGATTGTTGTTGAGTCGATGGAATTATGACATGCAATGTCAATGTCATTTGGAACAATCTTCACGACGTCTTTGTGATTCATTCCTATTGCAGCCATAGCACCACGAATACATTTTGCTTCTGCACTTGCTTTTCCTCGTGAATATGAAGCTAACATTGCTTCTTCAACTGTGAAACAGTTATCAGCATAAGCAGCTCCAAGTTCACCAACCGAATGTCCAATGATGTAATCTGGTTCAAGATTTAGAGATTTCAATACATCAGTCAATGCAATTTCAATCGCAGCGATTCCAACATAAGAATGAAGAACTGAATCAAATGTTTTTGGATCTAATGATGTAATGATTTCCATGAGATTCATTCCTTTAGGCACAAGAACGTCATGACATTTCTTAATAGTCTTTGCAAACAGTGGAATTCTAAGCAGATCAGTTCCCATTGATGGCCATTGACTTCCAATTCCAGTAAAGACCCAAACAATTGGACGTTTCGCAGTTGTAAAAAGTTGAATGTTTTGTTGTTTACAAACAGAATTGCCACTCATTGCATCTTGTGCGAAGATTCCGTAACCTCGGTAAACATTGCCTGTGTTTGTTTGAATTTGTGAATTTTGCAATAACGCAAGGAATTCAACGTCAAGTGGACGCTTTGTGATTTCATCATACACAGCTTTAATGCTGTTTTCTGTTCTTCCCGACCAAAGCACCATACGCTCTAAATCATCACTGGGCAAGCCTTTATTGATTTTCTTTTTCAAATTTCCTTTGAAAAGTGCATGAGCATTTGCACCTCCAAGACCGAATGAATTCATTGATATAAATGGACCATCCAAGTCTTCAGTTTCTGTAATTACACGAATTCTTTTCTCAGCAAATGCTGGTACATCATCTCTCAATCCAGTGATGTTAATGTTGGGGGGAATCTTTTGATTCTCTAATGTCAACAAAATCTTAGCGATTGAAGCAACGCCTGATGAAGCTTCTGCATGTCCCATGTTTGACTTCACTGATCCAATCGGTAGTGGTTTAGATCTTTTTGTATTTTTACAAAAAACTTCATCGATGGCAGAAACTTCTTCTGGATCTCCAAGTCGGGTTCCTGTGCTGTGTGCTTCAACAAAGTTCACAACACTTGGATCGATTTTCGATTCTCTAAAGAATTCTTCAATCAACTGTTTTTGCATTATCTTCGATGGAAACGAACTTCCTTCTTTTTTGAATCCATCATTATTGGAATTGGTGTACATAAGTCTGGCATAAACACGCTTTGAATTTTTCTGACGTTGCAAAAATACGACACAAATTGTATCAGCACGAGTGAAACCTGACGCTTCCTTGTCGAAAGGTCGACAATATCCATCTTGAGCCAATATGCCAAGTCTGCGAAATGATTAAAAGATTATTAATTTCATCATTAAAAGTAAATATCATTAATATTTATCACATGAAAATATTTTTCAAAATTTGATGCTGAAACCATTTTTTACTCTTGTAATTGCTAAAGTAAAGTTTCACAACAATTTTTTTCTTCTCTCATTATGTGTACTAATAAATTATCAAAGGTCGACTGGGAAACATTAATTTGGCTTTAGTTGTTGAATCAAATGTCTTATTGTCTATTTGGAAAGTTTTATGTGCTTTGAGTTGAAATTATTTAATAAATACCTATAACAAGAGAACAAGTACATGTGAAGCTTCTTACCTTGAGTATTCCATCGTTGAAGCTAAATTAAGAACAAGTTGAGAACCTCCAACGATTGCAGCATCACAAGCACCGCTCATCATATATTTATAAGCACTGAAGGAAAAAGCAGAGCGATTTAAATTAAATGAACAAATCACTTAAGATTTCTTCAACTGTATTTACCAATCCAATGCGTAAGCAGAACTTGAACAAGCTGTATCAACAGTAAATGATGGACCACACAAGCCTAATGCGTAAGAGATTCGATTTGACAAATAAAAATTCGCGTTTCTATTGACAAAAAATTTAATATCAAATGATCATTATGGTACGTCATAAAATAATTTAACTTTCTACCCGAAAATTCCCCATCCTTCCTTAGCTGGAAGTCGATACAAAAATGTATCTTTGGAGTCGGAGAAACAACATCCAATGAAAACTCCTGTTCGACTTCCCACGAGAGATTGAGGGCTAATTCCTGCATCAAGAATAGCTTCGTAAGAATGTTCCAACAATATACGACATTGAGGATCCATTTGATTGGCATGCTTGTTTAAAATTGAGAAAAATGAAGCATCAAATTTTTCCAAATTGCGAATTTTTCCCGTTCGTTTGGGAACTTCAGGATGGAAATGTTTCCAACGACTTTCTTCTTCATCAGCCATGTCAACTTTATTATAAAGATTGTATTCAAATTCATGGATGTTATCAGAATTTGGGAATCTTCCAGAGATTCCTGATACAACAATGTCATCATCATTATTTTTTTCTTGTGACATTTTTCCACTTTAATTATTTTTTTCACTTCAATTGCACATTCAATTTATTGATTTACTTTTCTTTTAATTGTCACACGTTATCTGATAGAATTTTATTTATTCTTCGTTTCTTGTTTAAACAATCACTCTTCTCACTCAAGATAGATGAAGCTTCACCTCGTTAATTTTCTTTCAATTCTTTTAGTCCAAAATAAAAGACGTTAAAGTCAATAACTTTCAATTTTTTTTTTAATTTTTTCACAATTGATTTTTCACTTCACATTAGTTTATGATATTTTAATTTTTTCTTGTCCTTAAGACAACAATCAAACTGTAAGGTAAAAACACGAATGAAGAGATTAATATGTCTTCAAAGCTTTATATACCATTGAATACTTACAATAACTCAGGGTTAGTGGAAAATTATTATCTAGATGTTTGAAATAAAAAAACATTGTGATTAATAATTAAGATGTGTGTAGTTAGTGTTAGTGGTACATGTTGATTTTGTTTAATTTTGGAAAAGATTTGAAATTCTATTGTTACAGCAAGTATATTTCATACTATCTACTTAATATTTACTACATGTATTTGAACAAAGTTCTCAACTTGTTTTCAAACGCATATTTTTCATCTTGCTTTGAAAGATTATTTCGTCTTAAGTTTGAAATGTAATTAAAAAGAAAATGTTAGCTTGAGCTTGATTAGAATGCTATAAAAAACAATCGATCAATACTTGCATCATACTTGAATTAACAATGAAATATTATCACCTTAATTTTCTTGAAATAACATGAGACGCGAAGACTGGAAAGAGTACGAAACGAATTTCTTCTTATGATGGCAGCTTTGCTACTGAAATACTTTTTAAATAAGAAGTTTGTTAAAGTGAAATATAAAGTTATAACTTATGAGTGTGTTTTCACGTCTCGTATAGCCTGACAGTTATTGTGATAAATACTTTGTACATTTCCCGACCAAAATTACTTAGTTAAACATTGCATACCGTTACATAAAATGAATTTAATTGTCTGAAACAAAATGAATTTAACTTTTATTTATAAATTCAATAATAAATAACTGAAATGAAAAGATGAGCTTTTTTGTGTTCAAACGAAAAGAAATTTAACATTTGAAAAGTGACACAACAGTAAAGGAACAATTGCAATGAAATTTACCTTTGACATGTCATGTTCAGATTGCAACATTTTGACAATTAATTTTACAAAAAATTTGAAATAAAAAAATTTCCAACCTTTTGAATATTGACACAATGAAGTGACACAAAAAATTTGTTGCAACTTGCATTAATGTTTATTCGTTATGTTAATGGTATTAGTCGCCCTTTGGTTATAGAAATTTGAGTGTAAAAAATTGAAGACATAACACGCAAGGTTATCTGACGTCTTATTTCTAATAAATCAAAAATTTAAATAACAAACTGAGTACACACTAGATTTTATCGCTGTAAATATCGGCATTTGTACCACGGATAATGGTAATGTGACGTACATACAACAAAGCAGTGATTCCATCGCAGATTTTTCTCTCACATAAATATTTGTAAAATTATTTCGAAAAAATATATTAAAAAAGAACAAACAGATAGTTTAAAGAAAAAAGTTGTTGAATAAATTAAATGAATTAGGTGATGTCATAATTGTATTCACTTAAGGATTATTGATTGTTGTTACCTGAACTTTCATCAAACCACAAAGTGATTAATGTTGCAAATTCATTTTTAATTTAAATTTCTACGGGACACCTCAATAACGTGTAAACCTTGAAAATAAGGAGATTCTAGCAACTACTTAATAATAAGATAATTAAAGTTCTTTTACGTCACACATTTCAATACAGCTAACATCATGTAAACACTAATTTAGCGTTGTTCTGTTCAAGCATTGTTTTACATTAAAAAAAATGGTCTTGGCTAGGAAGATGATCGGACTCTTCTTTTGTTTACATAAAATTCAAGAAATCATCATGACGTACTTTTGGAAGAAGAATATGAAAAGTGAATAATGATAGAGTTGCAAATCTGACAGACATTCGAAAAAAAGAGGCAAAAGGCCTTTCAATATTTTGCTAATAAGTGCTTATGAATGTGTATTCAAATATGCTTACAGGTAGGATATAATTTTACGTGGACAGCTTGAGTTCGAAGATTTGCGCAATAAGTATGAGATATTTAACATTTTTTATCCTTCTATTCAAAGGAGATTGATTAACAATATAATGGTAGTCAACAAACAATAGAATGTTGAAAAAAAAAATAAAGAACTACGTAAATCTTTGAACTTTTCTAACAAACACTTTTAATCCGTTCAAATTCCGGACTTTTGACTTTTGACAATTTTTGATTCTTAAAAATCTGAGGAGAAACAGCGATGGGTAAATATTGTTTGTTTAGGAAAAATTTAACAATCTTTGCAAACACAAGGAAAAAAATAACCTTGAATACTTAAAAATTATGAAAAGTGCCTTTGAACTTTTAATTGAACCTCATTATGTACATAAAACTAAACGTTATTTCATTTATTTATATTTTCAATGACGTGTGTGTTCCATCTCTCGTTATTAAGAAACCATTTTTCTGTATACTTCCTTCATCATGAATAATAACTCCACTTAGAACATTATTTATTATAACTCAAAAGTATTAAAAACTTTGTCATTTAAATAAGGTTTTTAGCAAGACTTGTTAACAAATTAGAATTAATCACCACCATTCTTTGGAGCATTTGTTAAATTGACAAAAGTTATGACTTTATATCAATTATCTGATGAATTTGGACAATTAGTTTGAATGATTTGGAGCATCTCTAACCATGATCAATAAGGCTAAGTATTACAAATAGTTAAATTGCTTCATTTGTTTAATTGCCCTAATTTATTAATTTTAACTAATTTAGTTTTAATGCTTTTTCTGATGGTAAAGCAGAGTTGAACTTTTGCAATTATTTTAGTTTGTTTGAAGAAAAACTTGGAAAATGTTAACATTCTTATATTTGAAGATTAAGAATAATCTGTCATTTATTCCTCGCGAGACCTTTGTCGACAATCAAACAATGTTCTAGGTTTATGAAAGGTCAAATTAACTAGTTAAACAGACAGGAAGGGAGAGAAGTGCTTTGTGTTCCCTAATATAATCTTTTGAAGAGATTAAAAAATTTTAAATAAAGAACCTTAATACAAAAACTGCGCAATTCTATCGATTGATGATTTGTTGTTTCTATTTAAAATTGACTTTTGCCCAGTGCTTATGAAATATTATACATATTTCATATATCTTACATAACTCGAGAATAAAGGGTGTAGGTCAGAGTTGGGATTTGACTGACTGACTGACAGACATTGACTTGTCAGTCAGTCAGTCAAACGACTTGAGCGGAACATTTGTATGAACGCTTCCCAACAATCGAACATTTTTGTTTGCGATTTTGACTGACTGACAGACTGACTGACAGACATTGACATGTCAGTCAGTCAGTCAATCGAGTTGAGCGTGCAACTTGCCCATCTCTGGTGTAGGTTCGTGAAATTTCAATACATAATTTGTTTTCAATTTTAATATTTCCTTCATTTGAACCTCGAACAGGTATTTAGAATCACATTAAATTCTAACTTCACAGTTTATTTTGTGTTTCTTTCATCTTGTTGCTTACAATCTTGATACAATCTTGATACAATCTTGATACTTATTACACCACACACACAATTTTATTGTTAAAAATATTTAAGAAATCACAAAGTGTTTAAAGACACTCGTGAGAGTGAAAACAAACATTGAAAAGCGAAATGGTCTGACAAAAATTTTTTTTTGTATCAAATAAAATCAATTACTTAATTGAATATTACACACTCAAGCACAACTAATTAATGGTTGTCGTTTAACCCAGAATACATAATTTTTTATAAATTAAATTAAATTTTCTCGAAGTCGTTGAAGGAAGAGAAAAGAGAATCGAAACGTGAAAATAATTTGGTTTTGCATTTCAATTTAAACTCACAGCACAAGTTTTTTGAATTGAAAGATTCTTGAGTTGAAGATAAATTGCATGATTTAATCATTAATTTCTAGCAACCGAAACTCCTTCGAATGACTTCATAAATTCTTTTTGAAAATAAATTTAAAAATTGGAAATTTTCACTCATTAAATCATGTTCGACGTAAGCCAGTTGCACTGCCTGCAAAATAAAAACAATTTTAAAAGATTCTAACTAATTATCGTTGTATCCAATTTTGTCATAACATTCTGTCATTAGTTATTTATAAAGTTTACACAAAATAAATTTAATTTCAGAGTTTGAAGTTAAAGAATTAAATTTATACACAAGCGGCGAAATGTGGGTAAAGGCAAGAGAATGTTTGTAAGACAAAAACTTGCTTAAATCCATATTTACATGCTTTTAGCAATGAATTCTCTTGAAAATTAAAGGCTAGTTCAGACATTACTTAACATATTCACCAGACAAGACAATAACTTTAAGTCGTCGTCATATTTCTTGTTTACGAAATAATCCATGATGATGCTAAGCAATCGGCGAATGCATTCGATCAACACATGACGCGATAGAAATCTCCCATCCGCACTAACCTTGTTTATTGAGAAAAGACCCTAAGAAGCCTTAGTATGTCTGAGATATTTTCCATGATGATTGCGTGACCACCTCAAAGACTTTATTAAGTAATTTCATATTTTTGACGCAAACGTCTCATTACGCAAACCTTCATCTTGTCACGTCATGCTCTGCCTTGACTATCTGTAAAATATAACCGAGAATCGATTTTCCACTCGAGTTCTTCCCTATTAAATTACTAAAAGTTGTAATCACTTGCAATGGAGATTCACTCAACCGTCGCTAATGATTTTCATCGAACAAAAGAAGCTTTCACATGCAGTGATACTTAATTAATTTAACATGAGAATGTCAATGCCACTCACAGTTCTGTTAACTTCGAATTCGTAATCTTTATTTAACTTATCTTAATGTACAAACAAAATGTTTTAACATAAACTAACATCAACTTCATTTTACAACACAAACATTGCCTTTGCGTCTACAAATGTTGAGAACGATTTCGCCACTTCGGACGCTTTTGAACATTCTGACAGCGTTTTGATGTGTCAGATCATGACAAACTTGACCATTGACAGCTAGAATTTCATCACCAGCTCTCAACAATCCACTCTCGATGGCTTGTCCATTGGGCATGATGCTCTTGATGAAGATTCCGAGGGCACCGCGTGGACTGTCAGCACCGCCGACGATTGTGAATCCCAAAGACTTCTTTCCAGGTCCTTTCTCTAATGTCACTGTGAGAAATAAGCAGTTTGGACTTGTTTTGGTTCTTCGTGGTAATGTGCAGAAGTTTGGCGTGCTTGGCAATGTCGCAAGACTTTCATCGAAATTTATTCGATTTGCTGTTTCATTCTCATCACAAATTTTGTCTTTCGATTGCGCTGATTTCAGTTTTAATTTCTCATCATCACAAAGATTCAAACTGTTGATGGCACAAAACTTTGTTGCAGAAGTGTCGGGCGAAGTTGTCGTTGGTGACTTCAATCGACGAGGATTCTTCATCGTGTTGAATTTAGTTTCGTTCTTTTCGATCCTAAAAGAAGTTTAAAAGCAGAATTTAGCTTAAGAAATTTATGAATATTTAATTAAACTTACATAGCGACAATCTCAGAGACAATAGAATTGCGCTTTGGTGTTTCCTCATTCTTATTGAGCTCATCCATGGATTGATTTAACCTTCGTTTGACTTCAAAATCAGGTCGAGTCGATAATGAAAGGATTTGATCATTACTACTTGAGAGTCGACAAGTTGTAAGGTTTGATTCTTCCTTTGCTGCTTCTTCGTTCAGATCCTTTCCTGAAATTTCATTTCTACAAACAAAACTAAAATATTTAAAATTAATTAAGGAATTTAATTGATCTTTCCTACCTTTCATATGATTTTAGATTATCAATTTCTGTTTTGTCATCAGCACTCGAATCTGTTTCAACCATCGACGATGCTCCAGATTCATTCACAAGAATTCCTGAATCGCCGTCTTCAGTCTCGAGCTTCTTCACACTGAACTCGTTGCTGCCTGGAAGAGTTCCATAGCTTAAGCTTCTTCGACTGCTGATCACATTTGTTGGTTCTTTGTTAGGTCGTTGAAGGATGAAATCATGACAAACATCGGATGACGATGAAGAATTCGACTTCAGATTCGAGTTTGAGTAAAACTTTGAAAACAACTTTTGCGTCTTTCCTGACATTGTTCGAAGCTTGTTCGTGATTCCATGTTTCTTCAGTCTCGGTAGGGTTCCAAATAAACTTTGATTTGGCTCCTTTTCGGTCTTTGGTTCGTTCAACGTTTTTTTTTTTGAAATTTTGAGATCTTTTGATGACGTTTCAATGAACGGCATTGAGATATTTGCGTCATTCATTTCTGAATAGTTTGTTTCACAGAATGAAAGGAAATCGTCGACTGATTTGTAATTCTTTAATGTGTCGAACTTCTTATCAGGCGACAGCGGTTTGTAGCACGATAATCGAGTGCTGTTCAAAGGATTTCTTTTCTCACGATACGGCACGCTGTAACCTCCGACGTTCCTGCTGAATTCACTTCTTACACTCCTCAGACGTCCACGATCTTCATCGAATAATCTTTCGGTTGATTGTTGATCGTCTTCTCTCCTTCCACCGTCAAAATTACATGTGGCGAGCTTGTCACGTTGCAGAATTCTCCAATTTAGTGTTTGTGAAGCACTGAAGTATTCGCTATGCGGCAATTGATGTGTGGGTGTACTCGTTGAAATGGTTTTAATGCTGGTTATTGACTGACCAGCTGGTGACGTTGATCGGGTCGATGAATTGTGTTTGTTTTTAATCCGAATTGGTGAAATGTAGCGACCTTTCAACCCTCGCTCAACGATTCTTCCTTCCTGAATGTTATAACAATTCTCTGTTGATTTTGTTAACTTTTTCGACCAACTCAAAGGCTGCGATTGATCTGCGAAATGAACGAAAGATGAAGAAAAATTGATTAAGTAAAATTTATGTTTTAAATGAACTCAAAAATCATAATAAATGTTTGTGTTGTGTAATTTTTGCTTATTTCAAACCAAAACAGATGTTTTTATACCCGAGATAATTTTAAGTTAAAAGGAAATCGAAAACTTTGCACTGCACTTGTTTCAAGCTCTCCAAAGACTGAATCAGCTCTCGTTGAAATAAAAAAGATTTTCTGTTCGAGACTGTCAAGTTACACATTGTGCATTTTAATGTGATTGCCTTTTGTGTATTCAAATGAGCTTGTTTATAAATTCAAATGACACAAAACAAACACATACAACCTTAAGTTAAAGCATAAACAATCACAGAACCCTCATGTGAAATATTTCGATAATTCCATCATAATTCCAACACATAATTTCTTCTTTTATGACCGTCAATTTGTCAGTGTGTACATAAAAATGACTTTAATCTTGTTCAGTCGTATCTTGCACTCTCACACTTGTGATCTTTCTTCTTCAAAGGTTTCAATCGGTTTCACGGTTCATGTTATGAAATTCAATTAAGAAAGATGATCCGATCGATCAATGAATCTGTCGTAATAAATCATCATCAGCTGGTCTTGTTTCTTTCCAAGGTCATGACTAATGTTAAACTTAACATAAAGCTTTACTGAAATTGGAATTCAAACTGGAATTCAAGACGAAATATTTTTCATATTTGTACAGCACTAATTTAAAATAAATATGCTTCTCCATTTGTCAATGCGTGGGCGGAAATAGCTAACAAACAGCTTTTATATGCCCGAGATGGCAACTTGCGATTATCAACTATAAAGAATTTCGACGTATTTGGAAACTATTTAAAACCTTTAACACTTTCGTTTCTGACTTGGAAAGTCATGAAATTATATTTATGGTTAATTAACTTTTAAGAGATCTTTCTGAAATAGAAAATATGGATAATCTTCTAAATTTTGGATCTAATTGAATTTGAATGAAGTTTATCGCTTGACACGATTTTTGTATTTTGTTTTCCTTTTTGGTGTAATCGCGTGTAAAGGCTTGACAGAGAGAAATCTGATGAGTGATGTTCAGAAAATATTATAATGGATTGAAACTTTATATTCATAACTCTTTATGAGTTTTGAAAGATTTCTTTCTTTATTTTTTTTTTATTGATTCCAAGAAGGTGATTTTGTATCAAAATTTGTTTCAATAATCTTTGTGAATACTTATAAAGTCAGAGGGAGTTTGAATTTAGAATAAACAAGAAATTGTAACTTTGATATTTCATATTAAATTGTTCAAAATATAATTTCGTGAACTTAAAGAATGAGAAGGAAGTCAATAACCGATTAATAACAAACAATATCCGCAGGTGAAAGCAGTGTAAAGAAAGCAACACTTGCGAGTCAATGAAATATTTCCGAAACAAAACAAAATCTTTTCAAAATATTCAATTAAAAGTTCTCACCAATTCTCGACTTTCTTGACAGTGTCATATTTCTGAAATCATCTGACGGCGTCTCATTTCGCTGTGGAGTTTGATGCTGATCAATGGAGTTGATGCTGATGGTGCTGACTGACAAAGAATCTTCGGATTTCAAAGGCGAGAGACCCAACAGTTGAGGTGTCTCAGATGATCGTCGTAGCCAACGCATTATTTCATGAAATTACTTCTCAGCTCTTATAAAACCTATAAAAAATATAAACAATTAAAAATCAATCAAGAAACTTTGACAATTCATCATCGAAACACAACAAAGCAAAGCATCATCAACGCTAGAAGCAAATAAAAGCAAAAGTTTTCAAATCATGGGCGTTGAAAGTGATTAAAAGTTGAAGGAACAGGAAATCAAAGCAAAGTAAAGTATTTCGGTAGCCAGAAGCAGTAGCTACAACATCAGATGAATTTATGAGTAAGAAAATGAATTAAAAACAAGGAATGAAATAAGAAAATCTCAAGAACATCAACTCGACTTTTACGTCTTATTTTTGTTTTATTACTTAACTCATATGTACGAGTATTTGAAATGGAAGCCACGTTAACCACCTGTACCAACATAACTCTACATCATAAGAAGCCTTCACTTAATAATATTAATAACCATGATTGCATCAGATACTTTTGTAAAGAAAACTTCGGATAATAAATTGAAATGTCGACTAATGATGCCATTATTCTTTTACATTGAAGTTAAATATGAAGCCTTGAGGAAGTCTGTTGAAGTCCAAATAGCTAAATTTGTCTTCAACTTGACCATCGATTCATTAGCTATTCTCATGCATATTTAAACTTTTTTCTTCATTCCATTTAATCTGGTTCATGTTCAAGGTTCATAAATAGAGATTCATTACAATTTCACAGACTTAACAACAGTCAACATTCCTTTAGGCTTTCAAAAGCAAGACGTATTTTATCTTTCCATGACTTGCGTATGAATTAATAATGTAAAAGCATAAGAGGAGTAAAAGAGTTAATATATCGTTGAATAAATGGTCTCAATTTGACCTTGAACTTCCTTCACCTCGCCTGCTTACTTCATGTATGCTTGTTTTTCGCTTTATGTTATGAGAGTGAAGATAAAAAATGTTGTCGTGATTATCGTGCATGAAACTGTTCGAGTCTCGAAAGCATTAACACTCTTTATTTCGCTCGGTTTACTCACTCCACAAATAAAATAAAGATGTCCGTCTTACATGCATATCTATTCTTATTTAACTTTAAAATTGAATAACAAAGTGTCGTCTTTTTTCACATGAATTTCACTTTTCATTTTAAATTTCTTCTCGCGTGTTCGACAAATGCGTGACATTTCAAAGTTTTCTTCATTAAGACTGACATCGAAGAAATATTTTTTGGGAAAATTACACACTTTAGCGTTGAATAACAACGACTGGCAATTTATAGACTTTCCAGACATTTTTCTTTCTCATTCATTTGTAACTTGTAACGTCAAGAGTCACAAAGCGAGAAGATTTTATTTTTATTTTCATTTGACTGTGAATAAATTTAATTTAGTCTTTTAAGTCACTCGTAAATTAAACGTTTCAGATGTTCCAGCATTTAATAAAGTTTGTTTTAATTAGCGAGATCAAACGAACATTTTTCTATGTGAATTCTCTTTTCATATGAGTATAAATAAAAACAAATGAAGCCGGTTCGCTTGATTATCACGTGGAGTTTTAAGTTTTACGATATGATGCTTTTATGATGACAACGACTTTAGAATCTAATGAAAGAAAGAAAAAAAAATTAACAGACTCAGAAGCAGAAACAAGTTTTCACACGTTTTGTTTCAACTTCTCCTTTCGAAATATTTCGCAATGGGAGAGTCAAGCGAAGTTTGCTAAATAATTTAAAGTGAGATTAAATATAATGAAACGTGCTTTATTGATCCCGGAGTTTGTTGACTGATTTCACTAAAACTGAGTTCAAAACTTATTAACATTTCTTCTTTTAAGTCAATTGATGATAATTAAACAAACATGTTGTTTAACTGTAAATATTTCTTTCATTCCTCGCTACTTTGTCACCTGTTAAGTATCCAAAATTGTTGAATCACGGATTTAAAATATTTTTTCACATAAATTCTTGAAATGATAAAGAGAAATAAAAACTTCTGAAGAATCTCCCGAGAAATGAGTTAAATAAGCAAACCTTTTCTTTTTATTTCTTCACAGAAAATATCATGAATTTTAATGAGTTTGAAATTCTACTCAATTGCTTTGATGATTCAGCTGAAATAATTTTGATGAAATCGATCAGTTTATCGCACGTCAACTTTCTGAAACTTCATGACCACAGGTTGTAAACATGAGATTTGCTTAAGTATCGATTCGTTTGACAATTAACTAACGTCCGCATCATACCGTGATTAGGTTTGATTGAGAATATTATAAGCCGATTAGGGTTTATATCCAAATCCCTATTGAGTTAAATTTATGCATGGCGCCTTTGAAAATCTATCAAAATAAATAAATTGTTAATCATTCTCGCTTGTAATTAAGCATTGCGTAATGCGTGGTCATCATAAGTTAATTTCTAAAGTTATTTGTTACTTTTTCAATTGCATGTCAAAACATTTTCGTAATATTTTGGTTTGTTAAATAACAGACAATGACGATGAGTAAACAACTGAAATCATTGAGTTCATGATTAAACATCTTTTCACTGAAAATCATTTCTTTTGAATATCTTAATAAGTAGTGGAAAACTAATAATTAAGTGTTTCGTTTAAGCGAGTAGTTGAGTTGCCTCATGAAACTCAATTCTTTTTGTGGGCAATTGAACATCAATTGTTCGTTGTTTCTAAACATCGTCAATTGAAAATAATTGATCATCCTCTTAAGCTTCAGTTGCAAAACGTTTAAGAGTATCTGACTCTTGTTAAAACATCTTTTAACGCACTTTTACATCATCATGCATATCCATCAGTGGACCACGCTCCAGATCTTCACTCACGAGTTAGAGTAACTGAATAAATTTCAAGATAATCTAATTATTTAAAACCACGAGTTATTCAACAACCTATTTTATGCTACTTTTTATCTGTTGCAATGCAATTCTTTTTCTTTTTTTTTCAGTGCAGAAAGAAATGGGTCGCAAAGACAATAATGCAACTCACTACAATTTCATGCCGTGTGGCTGATAATCTAATCGATGATATCTCAACATGATTGTTTTCTCACTTCACTAGATTCCAGATTCTACTTTTTACTTCATTTTTTCTTTCTTTAAATAAATAACTTTCTTGTCGCCGACGAAAAAGTCAACTTTGAACGATTTACATTTCATCTTACGAAGTGATGTGGCACATTCCTTAAACATTCCAGTGCGACTTCAATGCTAAAGCCATGAAATGAAAATGCACAATAATTTATGTGGTTCACCTTGAAACATAAAGATGAACATCAATTTCATTTTGTTTATATTTCTGTAATTGGTTTTTCGCTGTAAGACTCTTCAACAACTTTAAAAATTGTCAGTCGGTTTCATCAAAGCATTGCTTTCGCAAATACAATAAGGAACAAGTTTTTCGTTTTGAGTCGATGTTAATGACAAAAAATCTTTTACCAACGTCAGCAATTTCATCGATTCTTGTACATTGAGTAAATGGATTTTTGGAATGTTTGTATTTTCTTTAATTGACTCAATCATTCAAGTATGAAATCTTTGATATTTATCTAGTTTTAATTAAATTTTGACAATCAATTTGTATAATCATTTAACATGTGAATCAGAGCATTGACTTTTTTTTGCTCATGTCAAAACTCAACCATCATCAACATATTATTGAGATACGTTAAAGTCATAAAAAATTTCTAATTTCATTTTTATTTTTCATCAAACCGCTAATAACGTTTAATGATTATGTGGTGGCTTTGTGTTCAGTGTAAAGACTTTGAGTCGATTCACTTTCTGTTCCATAATTTGGAATTTTAAACTCGTTAAAATAATTCTCGAATCACATTAAAAACTTCTGAATTGCTAATGCCCAGCTCTGTTTGGATTCATCTCAAGCTTAACCACACGCAACGCTTACATCAGAATTGCATTGAACTCTATGGAACTGAATTGAATTTTACTTTCATGCGTGTTTAGGTGGAACAAAATGAATATCTAATTGAATGACTTCAATTCTTCTTTTATTCTTCAACTTCAATGGAATGTCACACGTTTGAATGTTTTTTTTCTGTCGATTGAATTGATGAAATTTATTCCACGTTTCGTGCCTCAAAAGCTTTCACTTTGCGAAATTGAATATTTGCTTAAATTTAGCTTAAAAGACTTCAAAATTTTACAGATCTCCTTTTTTCTGTTTATATCTGATGAATGAAACTTCCGTCTTCGTTATGAAAATAAAACTAATTTGATGAATCTGCTGAAATGATTCAAAACAGAATGATGGATGCTTTCAAACTCGAATATCATTTCAGTAAATACTCATGAATGAATTGCTATCAAATGTGAATTAATGTTTACAATTCATTTGGAGAAGTTTCTTTCTTGAACCTTCAATGAGAGATCAAAAGTCGGAAGTATATAAAACTCATTCATATTTAAAACATTGCACAGAAAGAAATAAATTAAATAAAGTAACGTGTAAAATTGCATAAAATATGTCTCGTGAAGCTTCATTACATACAAAAACCACGCAAGTCACATTCATAGAAAAGTTGAACGAAGGTTCGTTCGGGTTTTATAAGTCATTGGAAATATTTTCAGGTGAAGGTGGATAAGTTAGTGAGGCTTCATAGTGTTAAAATTATCTAAATATAACATTCAATATGAGTAGATTCATGTCACATGAATAACCAATGCGAACCTTGGCGAAAGATCAAACAAATTTAATTTTATTTAACAAAAAAATTAACCGCAAGATTTAATTAGATAAGAAATTTCAAATAAAATTGAGGAGTCACCTTCTTCAAAATTTCTTTTGAAGTGTTCTATGTCATGCTTCATTAAATTTGAAATGATTTTTTAGGTCAGAATAGAAAACATTCTGAAGCAGGTAGCTTGTTCTATTCTAGCAGTATTGCTTCGACACTGAAACTAATTGACGTGATCTCTTTCACGACAAGTCTCAAAAGAGACAAAGGTTCAACTCAATTCATTCTTGGGTAAAAGATAAATTCATCTTACTTAGAATCTAACAAGATTTTGAAACGCTTACGTATTAGAATTGATAAAAATCTGTGATATTTGTTAAAAAACAAACACTTACCATTAACTGTTAATTTTATCCCAACAAACTTTTTAGCCAAATAAGCGATTTTGCACACTTTTTTTCCTTGATATCTTTTTATCAATATTTGTTTACTCCATTTTTAGAGAAGCTATAAAGCGCTTGAGTTACAGTCTGAAATGACGTCAATTTTTTCACAAAGGTAGATTCAAATTTATAATTTCTGCTTGATATTAATTCCACGACTTCATTGTGCTAATTAATTTCTTATGCAAGTTATAAAATTGATTTAACATATTCAGCAATTTTATTGAATTTCATTGTTTTTGCGACTATGAAAAGACTCGAAATGCGTGAAGCTAATCCGTTTGATAACTCAGACGAAAGTGAACTGAACTCAAAGACACGAAGTAAGAGATCATGAAAGAGAAAGAAATGCATGTGAGGCACCTGAGATTTAACGAAAAAAAAAACATCAAGAAAATGAAAAAGTAAAAATGAGAGTCGATTTGAGAAAGAGTTTTGAGCAAGGGGGAATTAATCGGAAATTATGTCGCTTCGCCTGAAAGTTATGCAACTGGCAAGACGTAAGTTTTGCCCATGACTAATCATTGAGCATTCTTTTCCCTAATGAACATATAAATTAAACATATAAATAAAACATATGATTATAACCAAATTAATAACAGTTTTCTTATGCAAACTTAATTTCTCTCATTGTTTGGGCAACTTTACTTTTCAGTCTATTGGCCAACTCAAGAAAATATCTGATCAAGTCTTAACATTTAAAGAAGATCAGAAACTAAAACATGAATAATTCGTTCAGTAATATTAAATATGGATACATAAACGAGAGTCCTTTTTAGGAATCTCATTGAATAATTTTTCTCCGACTTAATTGACAGCCAATATATCAGGTTTTCAAATTAATTTCATTTCCGATTGCCACAATTGAACCTCTCAATAATATTTTTCCACCTACACAAAAAATAAATTGAAGTTTTTATTTCACGCTGGTAGAGTGCATGTAGCTTATTTAATTAATTGGTTGTATCTGGATTTATGTAGGGTGTAAATTGTAATATATTTAGATATTTTTTATTTCTTGTGGTGGTACTTTAATTAATAGAAATTAAAGCAGCGATTAATCAATAAATTTGACAATCTATGGTGAAAGAAAGTTCTTAATTTTAGTTTATTATTTCAAAAAATTAACATAAAATTGACAAAATCACAAGAAAGAAGTTAAAGTCATTTTCAGATCTGACCTTTTTATTGTTTCTGCTGATATTTTTCTAAAACAATTTTTGAATGAAGGCAAAAATGAATTGGCAAATTCTGCTCAAGAAGTTAAGCCGAAACAACAAGCGAATAAAAAATTAATTGATATTTTGATCCAACAAAGGTCAATTGTGGTGCTGCAGAAATTGTAGTTGGTTTTTAAGTGGTCATGATCATGCTGCAGAATTTATGTTTTTCTTTCTCTTTCGACAACTCGAGTGATTTCCTTGAAAGATTTGTTTTGTTTGGACTTTTTTTTCAGTTTCTTCAATCATTAGTGAGATTCGCATGCTTCTGTAAACTTTCAAGTTTTTAACGTGCGTCTGATTTCGTCAATAATTTTATGCTGATCTCAACAATAGTCTTTGAGAATGTTGCATAGTCTGGTTTTCATTACTCATAAAGATAGTTGTTATTATATTTTTCCGTCTTGCCTAACAGACGTGATCAATAAAATTATGAAACTAAGCAATTGAGCTTTAAGCACTTTGTAAAGGTTGTCTGGAAAGCCAATTGAACTCAAACATTATGCTTTTAAAGAATAATTCTTTTATGAATGAATTATTCATATAACATCGACAGCTCTTTTAATGAGTAAGTATTTTTGTTGAAAAGAAAAACATTAAAGCTTGAGAGTTTTCTACATCCACATCATCTGTAAAGTTATTTCATTGTCCAAATGAGACAGATTGATGACGCTTGAATGATTTGTAGCATGCTTTATGCTCAAGAAAGGCGAAGGGTCAAAATGTTATGTAACATTGAGGATTGAACACCTCGTTGATCATATCACAACACATTCATTGATGAAATAACCAATTGATGGCGCACTTTGACTAACGAAGCACATTGATTCATATTAATTAAACTCCAAAGAAACACATCAGAGAACAAACAGAGCGAAACTTTTTCTCATGTATGTGCTCATGCATTCTGTTATATAAAATAAACAAACAAATATTTTGAGTGTTGAAAAGACAACAAAACAACAATCGATGTTGCTAATGATCTAACAGAAATATCGCGGATTAATTGAAGTTGAAATTCTTTTAAGATCCCTCGACTGTTTGAAGATTAATTTTATTTTCTTTTCTCTTTTATTATGGCTAGTGGAATATGTTTTCATCTTTTATTCGCATTTAACATCATCGAAAAAAAATTATGAAGCTATAACAATACACCCATCATCATTGCCATCATAATTATTCAATTTCAATTCAATGTAAACTTCAATTCATAATTTTTTTTGCTTATGTGCAAAGCATCATGAATTTAATAATTTATAGTTTAATACGAATATCACGCGAGGAAAAAACTGTGATACTGACAAAGCAAACGACGACGGCATTCCTGTAGATGATAATTACACGCGAGGCGTGATTCGTGTTTGATGGGAAAAAAATGCTGCAAAATAATAAAAAGCGTTTGATATGATCGCGGCTGATTCAATGATTAACATTATTTACCAGGTGTTTCATACTAGGATCAATAATTGGAAATTTTGATGATGGATCATCACAGTGCATGTGTGACATATGGAAATGTCAACAACTTGTAACTCAATGGCACACCCAGTCCCGTTAATTGAATATGAAGTGCTGCAAATATCTTCATTGTTACCAGAAAACTTTCCTTTTTAAAGTTTCTTGCTAAATCTTTATGGATTATGACGCTTTGTTTATTTTGCTGCACGTTTAAAACTCGCTGATTTTTTTCGCCTAAAGGTGACTTTAAATTAATTGTTCGGCATTTTTTGAAAAAAAAGAGAAATTTCTTTTGTGACGCCAACACAAAAGAGTGCAAAGTTTAAAAAAGTTAACAACTTTATACTATCTAATGGAAACAATTTATAAGATTGTTAGTAATTATGGTTATGCAATGTGTTGTTAGAAAAATTAAATCACTGCTGATGTATTAGTTTTATATTTTTACATAAAAATGATTAAAGTAAGTTTATGAAGACATCATGAGACTTCTATTTAAACCAAGATAAGTTAAGGCAAAACATTTGCAGCACTTGCATAAAGTTATATTCTCGACTTACGGTGTTTTTTCTCCCCTTGGTATCCCCCAAATGGTATTTTTCAAATTTCCCCTTGTATCCCCTAGTTGTTGAGTTTTTTTGTGAAAACATTGAAGCATTTGCTCCAAGTCCTGTTTTCAAGGCAAATTTCCATTTGTTTGGTTTAAAATAAAGCTAAATTAGCTATCTGTGTACTCAGTTGGTGTACGACTTCCTTTAAAAATTGTATAAATTAGATTTTTAAATAATCAATGTTTTGTGATGTTTTTGATTCCTAAAATGTGCAATGTTTTATGAATGTTTTGCAACATTGAGGATCAAAATGTTTTAGAAAAACATTGAAGTGAATGTTTCAGTCAGCATTGAAAATTTTTCTCCTCAGTTTCTCGGCAAACCTCGACCTGTGAAGTTCGTTTATAAACAACTCTTAATTAAAGAAAACAAAAGAAACAAAGGAAAAAAAAGTTGTCAGAAGAAAGAGCAGATTTGCTCGCGTATGATTAATTAAGGTATAAATATTTCATGTCTTTCTTCTGTGTGACACAAGAAAGGTGTAAAATTCGAACGTGATTGAAATTCCCGATAAAATTTGTATTTTATTTTTCAAAAATTTACGAACGCTTGTAAAGCGTGGATTCGCAACTTCTACGAACAACTATTATATAAAAGTGACATCATCAGTGGGTCTGATTGGGTGTGAAAAGTAACAATCAGAAGTCAAAACAAAAGGCGAGCACTTGCGCGTGAAAATATTTTTTCTCATGTTGATGGACAGTGTCTTGATTCAATTACCGCCTATAAAAGAAAGTTTAAAGTTGAAGATTTGATACGCAAACATAAGACAATAAGCAATTCAATTTGTTTGTTGCAACTTCAAAGTAATTGCTTCAGAAGCATCAAGAACATTAATAACCCTGAGTAAGTTGCTTGAATTAACAGTTAATTAATCTTTACAACAATTATCTACAACTTCTTACGTCGCCTCTGAAGTGAATTTCTTGCTTTAAGAGACAATTAAGAAAAAGAAGACAATTGCAGCTCGTTTCTCTCCATGAACCTGATTTTTTCAAAGTGTTTAACTGTTTATACCAAGAGATGAACGAAGAATGCACGAGAGGCATCTTTAAAAGTTTCGTCACATTCGAATCGCGATTAGGATATTAAAGACCGAGTTTTTAAGAGACACCACTTACATGTACTTAAATTAAATGTCAAAAGGAAAAAAAATCGAAAGTTGAAATTGTAAAAACTTAGCCGTTGTTCGATTTCTTTCTTATCTCCATTTAGAAATCGTTTTGTTTCAAATTTCATTTTAAGTCTTAAAAATGTTTCGCTTTTCAATAACTTCAGAAATGAAAATTGATTTAAAGGATAATTTTGTTGTTGTTTTGTGACATTTCTTGCTAATTGAGCCTTGTTGTCGGTCTACAACCCGCGCAAATCGAGTTTAAAAATAAATCTAGTGTCTCAATGTTTTGTAAGTGCTTCGATACTTACATCCGGGTTGTCCATTCAACTTTAAAAATATCGTCGCTCGTGTTGAGAGTCTAAAGATATCCAATTCGCAAATCCAGCTTGTGGCGATTAAAAATCTTTTAAGACTTTATTTTCTTCCGTGTTTCTAAATCCTTGTCGATTAAATCACTTCAAGACACGACGTTACGTTGCATAAAATTGTTGCAATGAGAGAAAAGTTGTTTTGCGAAATAACAAACTGAATAAGAGCGATCAGAATCCGAAGACGAAACCGGTTCGCATTTGATGTAATTTGAAGTGACATTTTTAAGGTGCTCGATGAAGCATTTTCCATCGCATTTATCTTTGGTTTGTTTTCATTGGAATCCTTCCTGTTTGTAGTGATTACAAGAACTGGTTACATATGCGAATGGCGATTTTTTTATTTAATGAATATGCACTAAATAGACAAGTGAAACTTTTATCGTTTTACTTATCTTGGAAGTTTAATTAATCCCTCTACTTAATTTCCAACTTACTATAAAAGACAAGCTTTTAATGTCATATAAATATTTAATTAGAATATGTTTTGAAGTTTTTATTGTTCATTGTAGAATACTTAAAAGCTTTCAGTAAACGCTAATAGAATTTGTGGGAAATCACCATTTTATTTTAATTTAACTATGTTTGTATTTGTCCACTATAAGTACGAACTTTTCGGAACCATCAAGGTCTTTATTCCACGGCTTCACGAATACAATTTGTTGCCAAATACAATCGCAATTCTCGTGCATACTTAACATTCCAAATTTGTGCAGTTTTTTTTGTTTTTAAATAATTTATTGTTGAAGGTCAAGATCAATTCATTTGACTGATGATGATGATGTCGAGAAGCTTTCCTTAATAGAAGAAAATGATGAAGCATAATTTTATTTGTTTTAAAAGACATTTCAATGCGTGCTTTTAAGCGGAAATATTCCAATCATAAAGTCATAAATGAAAGACTTCTTTTTATTGTATCACGAGTAGTGTCAACGCCCATAAGCCCATCAAATAATCATCGTCATTTGCATCTTAATGAGTTTCGTTTCTTCACCTTTGTGTTGGCACTACATGATTCCCTCAAATCAACAATAATTCAGCAGACGATGATAAATTTACAACTTTCCATTTCATTTCATGTCTGTTGCCGTTGATGTTTTCTTCGCTTTGTATTTTTGATCTTTTTATGTCCGAAGAAAAAGTGAAATTTCTTTCATGACGTCATAACTCGCTTTAAATGTCGATTTAATACACAATAGTATTGTAAAATGACTTATTACACAACCATATGCTCCCGTGATGGACCTTCTCGATGATTATTTCCTCAATTATGTCTCATTTAACTTCAACTGGTTGGTTGTGGCGAACCGATTTTGGAATTGGCATTTGTCGTTCGAGTTTTTACATCGCATACTTGACCTGCAGCACGTTTCCTCATGCTTACTCTCTCGTGACCATCAAGAATTCTTTAAAAGTATAAACCATTTTGTATTTACTTTACGGAATGAGCTTTGTAGGTTTTTTTTTGGTTTCTGTTGAATGCCCTTGAGTCAGAGCAATGTTTTCTGGTCGTGTCGCTCAGTTTGATGTCGATATTAATCGCGTTATTTATGCAAAAGTTTAAGAATGATTTCCAATGAATTTGTTCGTTTTATGAACTGAAAATTATTTCAGAATATTGAAAAAGAGGGAAAGACTTCAATGAGTGAATACGCGAAGTAGCACTAAGTAATAAAATAAATTTAACGACTGCGATAATTAAACGTCTTCGATATATTTATTTATAGTCTTCAGCTATAAACATCTTAAAAGACCGTCTTCATCACTCCATCAAGCAATAGTTTTGAACGAAATCCTAACGAGTTGCATTTATTTACCTGGTGGAAGCAGCCATGCATGCAATGACCTCAAGTTGGCGAAGCTTTTTATAAAGATAATTATTTGTGGTTGACAATTTATTCTGTGGCAGTTTATTGGAGTTAAATTGAACACTTAAAATTTAATCTTCAATGGTCACATGAATGCAATCAACGGAAATTACTTGCTAATTAAACATCGTGTCAAATACGTTCACGATCTTAATTTTTCCATCAGAAACTTTACTTTTGTTTAAAGTTTCAACATTTTATTTCATGTTTCTTACAAGATTAAATCTGCAAGCTTTTATGTGATCATGCACATTTCCTTATGACCATTCTCCAGCTGTGAAAATCAATTGCAATGCGAATTTACTGGGCAATAGCAATCGAGAACAAAGTTTTTTGTCGCTTTGAGATTGGAATTGTCCTTGGATTGAAACAATTTATGTTATGCACGCTAAAAAGTTACTTGAACGCTCGTGATGAAGCTTTATTGATAGAGATTTTTATAAATTACTAGAACTGATCTATGAAAAATAAAAAAAAACCTTCAATAATGACAGATTAAATTGCGTTTTATCGATCAAGAATAATCTTTGAAAAGAAGAAAGAAAGATAAAAAAAATATGATGCTGAAAATATGTGTAATAATAGCTCATAATTAACTAGCTAATAACGATGAATCATGGCAAAATATTTTCCGTAATTTCTATTCAATTCCACATCTTAGCTGGGAATGTGTGAATGTTGAATGTTTCATAATTGGAAGAGACAACGCGAGAGCATTTAATTGGAAAACATCATGAGAAATTTTTGTGTTGTTGGTTTTGATTGCTGTTGGCAATTGAACGCAACTTGTTCAGTATTTGAGAAAAAGTGTAATCGACAAGAAGTCAGTTTCAAATAATAAATATTAAAGACGAAAAAAAACATCGATTCAGTTGATTCAGTCAAAATTTCATTGCCATTTACGGTCTTGCTCACTGTGCGTAAATCATTATTAATTTGCATTCATAGAAAAAAATCACAAAAAAAAACTTTTTTGTTCGTTTAATGGAGTTGTCGAAAATCAACTGTAAACAATAGAAAACTCGCAAAAATTGTTGATGTTAACCAAAAGCTTCAATTATCATCTGTAAAGAAAGTGAAAATTATTATTTTGTCGGCAGTACGTTAATGATGTTGAATCATCTGCGATTAAAGAATTCATGAAAATTGATGTTGCTTGTGTAATGAAGAATTAGATAGTTAAAGCAATAAAGTATTTAAATCAATCAAGAAGTCTGAAATCATTTAGACAGATTATGTGAAGACTTAACAAAACATTCTTCAAGAACGTTATTAAGTGGGTAAGTGGATTGAACGAACCGTTAATTAATCTCTGCAATTATCTCGCAAATCTTTGTGTCGTTGTTAAACTCAATTGCGGAACATGAAAAAAGCGTCAAAGTAAGAAGAAAATTTCTTGACGTTTCTCTCTCCATGAACCTGAATATATAATCATAGTCAGGGATGTTGGGTGTGTCATGCAAATTGTGAAGAAAAGTTTACGAAGAGTACATCAATCAACATTTTGTTGATTCTTTCGATACAATAATAAGATTTGTTGTTATTTTCTTTAATATTTTTGACACACGAATTTTTTTTTTGAAATTGACTTTTGGTAACCCCTGAAAAGATTAAGAAATGTATGAAGAAGAGAACAAACTTGTATTCAGATCATGATTGAAATCAACCCGCGTGTAAGCGAGATGAAATAAATCAGAAGACTTTAAGTACATACTAAGAGTATAAACTGAAAGATATCCGGGTTTCGTCATCTAAAGTTCGCAAATGAGAATGAAATATAAGAAATTGAACTCGACTCATCTTTTAAACAACTTCAGTTAAGCAAACTTGATTGCGATATCTTTGTGTTGTCGTTCTCGCTTACATTCTGATGAGCATGAACCGGTTCTCATTTGATAGCATTCCAAAACCAATTAAAGTGCTTTTTGTTTTCTTTATAAACATTATTTTCATGTCTAAATGTGCTATGTATTTTGAATTGAATGTGTAGATTTCTTTATATAGAATTCTACTTCACGAGAACCGCATTTTTATATGATTCGAACTTCACCTAGGCTGTTAGCAACCTCGTAAAAGCACTCTCTAAAGATATGCAAATTTAATTGAACAACTCACGAAGCATTAGAATTTCTTGTGCAATTGCGTAATAAAGAAAACGAGAAAAACTTTAAGGAATTTCATCATCAAATGCAATTAAATTTCATGAGTTTTTAACTTTCCATGAAACTTCCGATCAAGATCTTTGTCAGAAAACTTCTTTGAATTTAAATCATCTTACATAAGCGGAAATCCGATGTGTAGGCTACGATATGTACACAAGCATGCTCGAATGCTTTAAAAACCTTTTTTCCGTGTGCGATTTTCAAGTAATTAAAAATTCGCCAAATGGAACGTGTGAGTAGATATTTTTGGAATTTTCCCAAGGTTGACTGTATCGAAGTCTTGTTAAAAATATTTATTCGCATCTTAATTTTATTTCTCATTCCAATCGGATTCACCTAACATTAAGAAGCGTGTTGTTTGTACACATTTACAATCGCACGTTCACATAAAACTCGAAATAACGACTCGAAGGTCAAGATCAACTTCGATTTTCATAACTTTACTTAGTTACATCGTGTTTAACAGAAAACTTAACTTATTTTACATTTATATGTTCTCGCAATAGTGTTGGTTTTATTCCATTCGACAGCCAACAATTACCTCTTGAAACGTGCGAAATTACTTTTAAGGAAGTGAAATATCCTTGACTAAGGTCGATTGTACTCAATCAAACTCGACAATTGCCTGTCTGATTTAATCTTGTAACTTACTTTTACCTTCCACATAATAAATAACAATTTTGTTACTTAATTCTCTTCAGCTCACGAATGGCAATTCCCAATCATTCATCCAAGGCTCTTCCTTACTTCTTATTTTCCTTCTCAGAATCATGACAAATAAAAGATTTCGCGTCACAAGATTTCATAAATATTTTTCTGTGTAACTGTTTTTAACATTTTTTTGCGACATTGAATATCTCAGAATGAGAACAAACGATACTCATTCATATTCTAGTGAAGATTTATTCTGTTCACAAATGTCGTGGTTGAAACTTTTAAGCAGTAGTTTGTTTAAATGAAGAGTTTTGTCAATCCAACTCAGCATTTATTCGTCAATACAATAATCTTAGAAGTTGTTCATGATTGACATTAAATATTAAAAGTTTATTGATATCCTGAAGCAAGTCAAACTAGATTCAAAGTCTAACAAAAGGTTTACGCAATTAAATATTAGTCACCTTTAATCTCTTTCGCAAATAACTTCATGGTTTCGATGAAATCTTATTGATTTCTCATTGAATCAAAACTTATAATTAGAAAAGAAGATTAAACGTCAAGCACTAAACCTTGCGACAAGATTTATGATAAGAAACATTTCAACACATTAATTATTAATTTACATTTATTAATGTTTATGTAACAGGCTGTTTTAGTTACATAGATATGCATGTTGGATAGTCACGCTCTGTTTCTTGTACGATGCTCAAACTCTTATGATACTAAAGACGGAGATCTCATTCATTTAATGACTTACAACTTTCGTTTCATTTTCAGATTTAATCGAATTACTTTCGCTACTCATCACTTTTTTACCCAACCTGCCATTTAACATCACACGCCTTCAGTAACGATGAAGGGATGGTTTGATGCATTTCGAGACGATGGTGCGCCGACACTTTATTCGTTTTCTAACAGAACGCCAGTGACGGGAGATGTATCCATAATTGCGGTGTCAGTTCTCTTTGCCACTCTCTATATTGCATTTTTAGTCATCTTTCCAGGTGTCAGAAAACAGGTGAGTTGAACTTTACTTGTACTTGGACTATTGTTGAATCATCACTCTAATGAGTATCGATCAGCAAGTTAATTTTAATTAAATTTTGAATTACAAAAATTTCTCAATTCATTTCATATTTCACAAATTAAAAAAAATATGTTGAAGATCTGTTGAAGTGTTAAAATCCGCAAATTTGAAAGTAAAAGTGATTATTACGATGATGAGTGATGATTGAAAATTTTCACGGAAATTATTTGTTACATAAATTGGCGCTTTAATTATTCGCGGTTATTTCAATTGCAAGCTTATGCAAAATAAATAAAAATTTTAATCTCTTCTTTTTTATATTTCCAGAAATTTTCGACATTCATTACTGTTACTTTAAGTTTATTTGTCGGTCTAGTCATTCTCGGTAAGTTGATAATCAAAATTGATGTTTAGTTTAAGATAAGAAGATTTTTTTTCCATTTTTGTTTGCAACTTTACGATTCAATTCAAAGCATGTAGTTTTTCCACATCAATTAAAACCCGCTTAAAAATACGAAACTTCTCTGCTTTGACATACTTATTTTCAATATGATAACGCATTTAAAAAATGCGACTTTTCATGTGTTTGTATCATCAGAATGAGGGTCACGGTCGTGATGGCATCGTCATTCATTTAAAGCGTTGAAAAGCAACGTCAACGTTGAATATATTGTTGGTTTCTTCTTATAAATTTTCATGTTGAAAAATAATTAAAACTTGTGTTTTATTCCCCGCTTTTGTAATGCATGAGACGTAGATATTAAAAATTTAATGCATTAGCAGCTTCATCGACCATAAACAAAAAGCTCAGTTCTATAGATGTGAAGTTTGGAAAACAATGACAAAAGATTTCCCACATTAAATCTTTTCAGAATCATTTAAACACCATCGTGAAACATTTTTTTTTCTGTTTTCTAGTTTTCATTTTTAAAAGCTTTTTTCTTTTTGCATCATCGTCAGCATTGTGATGAATTTAACAATATTTGTTTCATTCATTTTGTAGTTGGCCAATTGGGATCGTCATGGCATGTGGCGAAGCAAAATATCGTCGCACCTTACAAAGCATTTTCTCGAGAAAAGCTTCCAGCACGTATCGGTGTTCATATTGGACTTATGCATGTAAACATCACACTAGTTGGCCTACCAGTTGGTAATTGGTCAACTCCAGACATTGATTTTAATGAACGATTCAATTGGAATCAAGCAAATGACATGGGAAATTCCTACAAATGCGCATTGAAGCGAGGCCTTCCATATCCAATTCTGACAGTTGCTGAATATTTTAGCTTGGGACAGGAAGGTTTTGCTTGGGGCGGTCAATACAGAGCTGCTGGTTATTACGCAAGCATCTGGTTGTGGTACGAACAATTTTTGTATTATTTAGGAGAAAAATCTAAAATGTTTTATAAATTCTCAGGGCATCTTTAGCATCTTGGCTTCTTATGAATTTACTTCTGACTGCAGTTCCTCGTTATGGTGCTTATGGAATGTGCACAACTGGCTCACTCCTTCTCGGTGCTAGCATCGGTTATTATCTTATGCTTCCTAAACCACCTCTGGTTATTTATATCGAAGGTGCAATGATCGAGTTTAGTCTTGGATGGTGCTTTTGGACAGTTTTAGTTGCTGGTTCGATGTGCTTCTTCATAGGCTTTATTGTTTCCGCTATTGACTTAATTTGGCCACACAAATATTCAACAATTCTTGAAGTTTATTATGACACGCCATACGATCGTCACGTGATTCTTGAAGAGTCGCATGATGTCAGATATAGAAAGAGAAATAGCAAAGGCGGGCTTGAAGAACCAGTCAGTCTTGGATCAAGAATCTTAAGGTAAATTAATTATGCAATAAAAATTAAGAAATTAAAATATATTTTGTAGGCGTTTGTCATCAAAAACTCGTGAACAAACATTGAATGACATTAATCGAATGGGTATCGAGAACCGAGGGTTTCAACAAGATCATGTGCCAAAATCACCTTGGCGTTATCCATTCCGACGAAGTCAAGTGCCAACAATACAACGAACAATATCGCAAGACTCAACATCAACGATTGCATCAGCTGCGGGTGTTAATGCAGCAGCAGTTGCTGGTAGCAGTACTCAGTCATTAAGACGTGAGACTCTTTCAAGAATGTTGCCACCGTAAATTGAATTTTCATTTGCTCATCAAAAATGTGTATTTAATGAATTTTAATCATTTCAGCCGACCACCGATCGACCGTAACAAAGATAAGACGTCAGTTGAACTGACAAACTGGTGAACGTCATACCGTAGAGGTTTCCAAGAAAATTTCTCCTACAGTCGACTTTTTACTATTTAATTTTAAGAAATCGGAAATGTGTGATGATCATGTGATATTAACTACTTGTAGTACTTTTAATGATGATATTACAGATGAAGCTTGATTGATAAATGACAAAGAAGTTGAGATCAAGAATTATCTGTGATTATGACAAAGAAAATTTCGTAATTAAGTAGTTTAACGTAGACAGTCATCAAAACAACGTAAAATAAATAAAAACTTAAGATTTCGTTTAGATTTAGCCATCAAATTTCATTTAAAACATGATTTCATAATTTATTTCATAAAAATTCTCAATCATAAATTTCAACTTAGCTTCACTATTGAATATTAAATTTATACTGTTTAAGAACCATGAAGAATAATAAAAATTGTGTCGTAGACCAAACATGTAGTTTTATAAAAATTAGGTACAATAATTTCACTTTTATTCCTTGTTTAATTAAATAATTTCTCTAATGGTTGTTAGCCACACTAAAACTTGATTCACTTTGTAACAAAATTTAACGGATTTAATAATTTTAAATTTTAGCCGGTTCAAACATTGTTTATATTGTGAAAAATCATAAAAAATATTTACATGTACGACTTCCTTAAAAGTTTTAGTTCCTTATATTAAAAGCATGAAAAGAAAAACTCTAAGCTAAAAAATGTGTGATGATACTTCGTGGAGTAATTGTCATGTTGACATTTGGTTCGTCATCTCTCGATATTTATCACCTGAAGACACACTTAACTTTGCGTTAATTTGTAAGAAAACATTTTTTGTGACAAACTCAGAAACATATTGGAATGGATTATTTGATCGTTTCATTCGGTCCAAGTATAAATGGCTAGATAAACCTACAACAAGTAATGGATCCTGTAAGTTGTGTTGTTATTAAATTGTTCCTTTAATAATATTTTTTTCTTCAAGGTATACGAGATGAAACAATACGAGAATTATTTAAGATGTACCCAAAGTTTATGAATCGAAAACGAGATCCAGATTCCTATGACAAAGCAGTTGGAAAGATTTGCATCAGTATCAAACATTCCTTAAATGAAAAGTTCATGGATCAATCTTATGTTTTTAAAGTAAAATCGAAATCGAAAGCAATAAGTAAACTTGCGCAGCTTAATAGAGATGAAGGGTGTCAATTACTTGTTATTAGATCAAAACAGTTTGTACCATTTCCATATGAATCTGATAATTTGACAGTGAAGTATGTCTCGAAAAATCTTTCTCGTGGTTTTCGGGCATACAAATTGAAAATTCAATTCTGCGATCATTTTGGAAATTCAGCGGGTGAAACTCTCGTTTTTGATCCAATAATTAGTGTGCAGCTTTATGATTGGTGGGAACCTGAATACAAAGCTTACATAACAAGCGGATCTTATTAAGAAATGACTTATTTATTGAATTTTATTGATTTCCTATTAAATAAAAGAAAATTATTTAACGTTTAGCAAAATTTGAGTCCATAGTCCTTGATGATCGCTGGATGTTGTTCAATTTACTTTTAATTCGAGACTCAACGGAGCTCACTTGATCTTGAGCTTTTTTCATTGCTCGGTTTAGGAAAGTTTTATCGAATTCTTTCTCGTGATTTAATTTTTCTCGTTCTTCTGATTCACGATATTTTTTAACAGTCTTTTCACGATCTTTTTCACGCCATTCAGCATTTTCCATCATTTCAAGTCGAATTTTGTCCATTTCTTCCTCCGTCAAGGATTTTCTTCGTTTAACTTCTTGTTTCTTTGGAGCTTCACGGATCGGTTTCAATTCTTCTTTAGTATAACGTTTGATTTCTCCTTTATTCATTAGAGCAATCTTTTCGCCTGATGCTGTTACCAAACCAAAAGCTTTCGGTTTTCTTTGCCTTTGTTCATCGTCAGAATCATCGTAATTTGTCTGTTTCCTTACAGGTGATGATTCTCGCTCACTTGATGACGCTTTTCTTTCTGGAGAACTAGATTTACGTCTGGGTGGTGAAGGATTTCTGTACTTGGTGTCTTTATTCTTCTCACGAGGACTGGGCGAATCTCTTCGATATCTTTTGGGAGATGCGGACGATTTTCTCTTCCTTTCGTCACGATTACGATCATTTGACATTTTCTTATCAGATTTCTTTAATGAATCACGACATCGTTCAGTCGATTTATTTCGTCTTCTTCGTTCAGGCGAATCTCGTCTTCGTCCACTTTGTGGTGATTCTCGTCTTCTTCGTACAGGTGATTCTCGCCTTCTTCGTACTGGTGAATCTCGTTTTTGTTTTCTTTCAGGAGAATCTCGTCTTCTTCTTCTTCGTTCAGGTGATTCCCTGCGACGTTCTCGTGAATTTCTTCTTCCGGAATCTCTGGACAAACTTCGCTTCTTCTTTTTGTTTTTAACAATTCTATCAAGTTCGTTCTTAAGCGTTTTAAACTTTTTCTCTATAAAATTTGAGTCGTCATCGGAATCATTTCTGGAATTATCTTTAATGTTTTTATATTTTTCTATCAGAAGTTTGTCGAGATCTTCAGAGTCCGATGAAGAGTCGCTTGAACTCGATTTTCGTTTCTTTTTAGATTTTTTTGAGGGGTGTTTTGGAGATTTATCGAGACCATGCTCATCCTGGAATATAAATAAAGTTTTTTCATATTACTTTTCAAATAAAATAAAAAAAAATTTCACCTTTTCTTTTTTAAGTAAACGATGAAGTTCTTTCAATTTCACGGGGTTTTCGAGAATTTTTCTTCTTGCTTCCATTTCTTTTTGCTTGATGGCCATGAGAGGATCTTCCATTTGCTTTCTAACAATATCAACTTGATCATGTTTTTCAAAAAGATTCGTTCGTCTGCTTATTGATGCTGGTAAAACTTCATGTTCAACACAATTTTCGGAAGTTGTCAATTCTTCAAATTGTTTGTCTACTTTACGACCAGTCAAATACTCTTCACGATTCAACAAATCTTGACCTGTTTTATACATCCATTCAAGCTTAGGATTTTCATTATTATCTGCCATTATTTTAATTTCAAAATAAATTTTTCAAGTGTAAACAAAATTTGAAATTCTTATATTTCGTCCGAAAATTT